TTTTCAGTGTGGAATTTTTAGTGTGGGATAGTCAGGGACAATTGATCACTGGACATTTGGTCCAGGGACAATTGATCACTGGACAATTGATCATCGGACATTTGGTCACTGGGACAATTGATCACTGGACAATTGATCATAGGACATTTGGTCACTGGGACAATTGATCATTGGACATTTGATCACTGGGACATTTGATCACTGGACAATTGATCATTGGGACAATTGATCATTGGACATTTGGGTCCGGAAGGGGGGGGGGGTAATTCAAAGTTCAAAGTCTAGGTCAACGTCTAAGGAAGCCTATGCCTAGTGCCCTACTGTCTACACCTATTGAATAAGAACCCGTGCCTTTGGATATAACTGGCAGGTATGAAAGCCTGAACCTGTGGAGAGGGTTTTTAAAAAAGGGGGGTCGGTCATTTTTGGTGCCAGATTTTCAGTGTGGAATTTTTAGTGTGGGATAGTCAGGGACAATTGATCACTGGACATTTGGTCCAGGGACAATTGATCACTGGACAATTGATCATCGGACATTTGGTCACTGGGACAATTGATCACTGGACAATTGATCATAGGACATTTGGTCACTGGGACAATTGATCATTGGACATTTGATCACTGGGACATTTGATCACTGGACAATTGATCATTGGGACAATTGATCATTGGACATTTGGGTCCGGAAGGGGGGGGGGGTAATTCAAAGTTCAAAGTCTAGGTCAACGTCTAAGGAAGCCTATGCCTAGTGCCCTACTGTCTACACCTATTGAATAAGAACCCGTGCCTTTGGATATAACTGGCAGGTATGAAAGCCTGAACCTGTGGAGAGGGTTTTTAAAAAAGGGGGGTCGGTCATTTTTGGTGCCAGATTTTCAGTGTGGAATTTTTAGTGTGGGATAGTCAGGGACAATTGATCACTGGACATTTGGTCCAGGGACAATTGATCACTGGACAATTGATCATCGGACATTTGGTCACTGGGACAATTGATCACTGGACAATTGATCATAGGACATTTGGTCACTGGGACAATTGATCATTGGACATTTGATCACTGGGACATTTGATCACTGGACAATTGATCATTGGGACAATTGATCATTGGACATTTGGGTCCGGAAGGGGGGGGGGGTAATTCAAAGTTCAAAGTCTAGGTCAACGTCTAAGGAAGCCTATGCCTAGTGCCCTACTGTCTACACCTATTGAATAAGAACCCGTGCCTTTGGATATAACTGGCAGGTATGAAAGCCTGAACCTGTGGAGAGGGTTTTTAAAAAAGGGGGGTCGGTCATTTTTGGTGCCAGATTTTCAGTGTGGAATTTTTAGTGTGGGATAGTCAGGGACAATTGATCACTGGACATTTGGTCCAGGGACAATTGATCACTGGACAATTGATCATCGGACATTTGGTCACTGGGACAATTGATCACTGGACAATTGATCATAGGACATTTGGTCACTGGGACAATTGATCATTGGACATTTGATCACTGGGACATTTGATCACTGGACAATTGATCATTGGGACAATTGATCATTGGACATTTGGGTCCGGAAGGGGGGGGGGGGTAATTCAAAGTTCAAAGTCTAGGTCAACGTCTAAGGAAGCCTATGCCTAGTGCCCTACTGTCTACACCTATTGAATAAGAACCCGTGCCTTTGGATATAACTGGCAGGTATGAAAGCCTGAACCTGTGGAGAGGGTTTTTAAAAAAGGGGGGTCGGTCATTTTTGGTGCCAGATTTTCAGTGTGGAATTTTTAGTGTGGGATAGTCAGGGACAATTGATCACTGGACATTTGGTCCAGGGACAATTGATCACTGGACAATTGATCATCGGACATTTGGTCACTGGGACAATTGATCACTGGACAATTGATCATAGGACATTTGGTCACTGGGACAATTGATCATTGGACATTTGATCACTGGGACATTTGATCACTGGACAATTGATCATTGGGACAATTGATCATTGGACATTTGGGTCCGGAAGGGGGGGGGGTAATTCAAAGTTCAAAGTCTAGGTCAACGTCTAAGGAAGCCTATGCCTAGTGCCCTACTGTCTACACCTATTGAATAAGAACCCGTGCCTTTGGATATAACTGGCAGGTATGAAAGCCTGAACCTGTGGAGAGGGTTTTTAAAAAAGGGGGGTCGGTCATTTTTGGTGCCAGATTTTCAGTGTGGAATTTTTAGTGTGGGATAGTCAGGGACAATTGATCACTGGACATTTGGTCCAGGGACAATTGATCACTGGACAATTGATCATCGGACATTTGGTCACTGGGACAATTGATCACTGGACAATTGATCATAGGACATTTGGTCACTGGGACAATTGATCATTGGACATTTGATCACTGGGACATTTGATCACTGGACAATTGATCATTGGGACAATTGATCATTGGACATTTGGGTCCGGAAGGGGGGGGGGGGTAATTCAAAGTTCAAAGTCTAGGTCAACGTCTAAGGAAGCCTATGCCTAGTGCCCTACTGTCTACACCTATTGAATAAGAACCCGTGCCTTTGGATATAACTGGCAGGTATGAAAGCCTGAACCTGTGGAGAGGGTTTTTAAAAAAGGGGGGTCGGTCATTTTTGGTGCCAGATTTTCAGTGTGGAATTTTTAGTGTGGGATAGTCAGGGACAATTGATCACTGGACATTTGGTCCAGGGACAATTGATCACTGGACAATTGATCATCGGACATTTGGTCACTGGGACAATTGATCACTGGACAATTGATCATAGGACATTTGGTCACTGGGACAATTGATCATTGGACATTTGATCACTGGGACATTTGATCACTGGACAATTGATCATTGGGACAATTGATCATTGGACATTTGGGTCCGGAAGGGGGGGGGGGTAATTCAAAGTTCAAAGTCTAGGTCAACGTCTAAGGAAGCCTATGCCTAGTGCCCTACTGTCTACACCTATTGAATAAGAACCCGTGCCTTTGGATATAACTGGCAGGTATGAAAGCCTGAACCTGTGGAGAGGGTTTTTAAAAAAGGGGGGTCGGTCATTTTTGGTGCCAGATTTTCAGTGTGGAATTTTTAGTGTGGGATAGTCAGGGACAATTGATCACTGGACATTTGGTCCAGGGACAATTGATCACTGGACAATTGATCATCGGACATTTGGTCACTGGGACAATTGATCACTGGACAATTGATCATAGGACATTTGGTCACTGGGACAATTGATCATTGGACATTTGATCACTGGGACATTTGATCACTGGACAATTGATCATTGGGACAATTGATCATTGGACATTTGGGTCCGGAAGGGGGGGGGGGTAATTCAAAGTTCAAAGTCTAGGTCAACGTCTAAGGAAGCCTATGCCTAGTGCCCTACTGTCTACACCTATTGAATAAGAACCCGTGCCTTTGGATATAACTGGCAGGTATGAAAGCCTGAACCTGTGGAGAGGGTTTTTAAAAAAGGGGGGTCGGTCATTTTTGGTGCCAGATTTTCAGTGTGGAATTTTTAGTGTGGGATAGTCAGGGACAATTGATCACTGGACATTTGGTCCAGGGACAATTGATCACTGGACAATTGATCATCGGACATTTGGTCACTGGGACAATTGATCACTGGACAATTGATCATAGGACATTTGGTCACTGGGACAATTGATCATTGGACATTTGATCACTGGGACATTTGATCACTGGACAATTGATCATTGGGACAATTGATCATTGGACATTTGGGTCCGGAAGGGGGGGGGGTAATTCAAAGTTCAAAGTCTAGGTCAACGTCTAAGGAAGCCTATGCCTAGTGCCCTACTGTCTACACCTATTGAATAAGAACCCGTGCCTTTGGATATAACTGGCAGGTATGAAAGCCTGAACCTGTGGAGAGGGTTTTTAAAAAAGGGGGGTCGGTCATTTTTGGTGCCAGATTTTCAGTGTGGAATTTTTAGTGTGGGATAGTCAGGGACAATTGATCACTGGACATTTGGTCCAGGGACAATTGATCACTGGACAATTGATCATCGGACATTTGGTCACTGGGACAATTGATCACTGGACAATTGATCATAGGACATTTGGTCACTGGGACAATTGATCATTGGACATTTGATCACTGGGACATTTGATCACTGGACAATTGATCATTGGGACAATTGATCATTGGACATTTGGGTCCGGAAGGGGGGGGGGTAATTCAAAGTTCAAAGTCTAGGTCAACGTCTAAGGAAGCCTATGCCTAGTGCCCTACTGTCTACACCTATTGAATAAGAACCCGTGCCTTTGGATATAACTGGCAGGTATGAAAGCCTGAACCTGTGGAGAGGGTTTTTAAAAAAGGGGGGTCGGTCATTTTTGGTGCCAGATTTTCAGTGTGGAATTTTTAGTGTGGGATAGTCAGGGACAATATCGAAAAATAAACCGAAATCTGAAAAATCAAATTACATCCAAAGTTTTAAGACAAACAGGTTATGTCCTTGCCTGCGGTGTGTCTAGGGAATAACAGATTTATCACAAAACTATACGATAGTAACGAATTGTATTTTTATCAACTTTATTTATAAACTTTTAATTAAAGAACCCGTACAATAAACATTAAAAAAATTTGAAAATATCGTTACTGTGTAAGTCATGATGTGATCTTTTTACTTTTTACAAAGGAGTTTTATATCAACACATTCTGACAGGTTTATATCTAGACTATAAAACCTATCTGGCGTTTAGACTCAGTTTACATGTTCTTTTGCTAACAATATAATATAGGTACTTCAGTAACTAATGACATTAAGATCACATCAAAACATGCAAATTGGTTAAGTTAATGATATTATGAGCGTTTAAAGACTAGATGTGAAACAAAAAAGCGTCAAAATCTATAGCAAATAGTTGATAATTATAGTAGATTGGCACTTCCTGGTCAGGAATAACTTCAGGTAACATCATTAGAATTTTGAGGTAAATAAACAAGGGCAAATTTGTTAACCAGGCCCATTGATTTCAATACATCCTCACTCGGGGTGAAATGGGATTTTTTTTATTACACTTGTCACTCTCGCCACTTTGCCAAATCAATGCGTGTAATGCTGTTACATTGCTCAATTCCGCCACCAGATTGAGGTAACATAAATGCATGTACAGGAACTTGTGATATTCTGTCGCCATTGTCACAGAGTATCCTTGCCATACTAAAAATCAATGAATGGCATGATTTTCTCTATAAATTCCCCCAGTGACTTAATTAATAAGACGTACGAAATCCTGATAAATTACTTGCCTCGTTTTTTTGATCTCTTCTAATTGTGTCGCTGAGAATATTCCAGGGTTTTCAAAGTAAAACCTATAATTGACTAGACATTATTAGCAGTCTGAATACATCTCTCTAAAAACTATCTCCTACTCTATAACTAATCAAAAACTTGCCGATCGCCGTCCCTTGTTCTCTTAAACTGATCACTAATTATACACGCTAATGTTGGTCCAACTAAACCTCCAATAACTGGATCTTCTATCATCCCACCAACGTATAGATCCAAATCATCTAGAAAATAAAGCATTCTCATATGTAAAAATTATTAATTTTCCTTATTATTTCCTTACTAATCTATTGTTAATTTCATTTAATTGCTCTCATTTTATTAGCTTATTTATTTTCGTTATTTTATTGGCTTATTTATTTTCAGTTCATTTATTCAAAATTATGGTTCTATTTTTATAAATTATGATAGCTAACTGACCAGGTGATGGATAATTTTCGGCAAGTACTTTGCGCACATTTTCATCTGAAACATGAACACTCATCTGATCAAAAGATCTTATAGGTTCCATTCCGCAAAAGTTTCTGAATTACTGTATTAGCTATTTTTTAGCATATGATCTTTTATCAAATACAAATATATCATTGTATTTGGTGATAGAAGATCCATATTTGGTTCTACTTGACTTTATGAGTCCAATCGAACTTTATGAGTCCAATCGAATTTTATGAGTCCAATCGAACTTTCTGAGTCCAATCAAAATTTATGAGTCCAAATAAAACATTATGAGTCCAATCAAAGTTTATGAGTCCAAACAAAACTTTATGAGTCCAATCACATTTTATTAGATTTTATTAAATAATACATTTATTAAATAATACAATAAAAATGAATAGGGTTATGTTGTTAGACCTATGGAGTATAGGCGAGACGCTTGTGCAAAACCCCGCGCTTCGCGCGGGGTTTTGCGGCACGCGCCTCGCGGGAGTCAACGGTCGCTGGGTTCTGGGTCGGCAACATAAACCTATCCCTTTTTTCATCACCAGCCTTGATCTGACGACCTACCCTCATAGCTCACAAAAATCTGATTGGACTCATAAATAGTGATAGCAATCATAAATGTAGTAGAGCCACAATTTTTACTTAAAATAATAAGACATGTCGGATTTATGAAATTTGTTTGGACTCATAAATTTTGATTGGACTCATAAAGTTTTGTTTGGACTCATAAATCTTGATTGGACTCATAAAGTTTTATTTGGACTCATAAAGTTCGATTGGACTCATAAACTTCGATTGGACTCGTAAAGTTCGATTGGACTCATAAAGTCAAGTAGAACCCCATATTTCTATTTCACCAAATACAAATATATTTAATTTCTTTTGTTTTTATCTTACCGCCATTTATTGTACGATGGTATGCCATGGTCTCTGCCTCGCATTATATTAAGTGAACCTAAGTCAGTGCTGTGAAATATTTCGATGTTATTTTCTGTTGCTAGTAAAACTTACGAGCCAAACATCTTTTCTGTTATAGCTGGTGTCATCCCGTGAGGCTTTTTTAAAGGCCTGAAACGTTGTTAAAAATATCAATGGTTATGTTATATGTATGTAGCTATTTTAATAGGTTTATTTTGAAACTTTGCTAAAAAATATTTTTCTAAACTAACGTATTCCAGAGACCACGTAATATAGGATCAATGCCTCCTTCAAAAAGAATTTTTTGTGATTTGAAGATGCCTGATGCACGAATAAAAATAGAAATTATTTCCAAGTATTTTCATGATTTTTACCATCACCGAACACGAAGGATCCCTGCACAATCGGTTGCCCATTCTCGGATAGGCGTGGGTATTGTTCCTCAAAATTTAATTTATACATACAAATTAAAAATTTATATTTTTGACTCACTAAAATCATTCCATGGCCAAATCTGTATGCAGATGTCGTGAATTCATTTGACACACTTGGATCTACTTGAGGATCATAACCTCTTAAATCAAAATAATAACATTTTAACGACTAGTCTCACCGATAAGGGCCGATAAGGCGCTCAAAGAAACTGCCTAGTATTCGTGGTAGAAACTCTCGATAAAGTATTGCTTGAATTTGAGCTCCAACAATCTTACGTGCTTCTTGGAACAGTCTATCTCTAGAAATATTTACAAATTAAAAATAAAATTATTTATTCCTAACCCGCTCCAGCCTGGATTTAAGCCTTGTAAAGCTCTTACAAGACGATTGTGTTCTCGCGCAAACAATATGTGCATTGAAGAGAGGCCCAGGAACTTAATAATAAAAAGAATTTAATAATCAACCTAGTAATAATAACCAAATTAGCGCGGATGTCGCCAGCAGAGAATGATGCTGAACAGCTGCTAACACTAGCACATCGTCCTTCATCAAAGGGCAAAACCATGAGATTATTGAAAGATGACATTTTTAGCATTCCTTTTAATTAAAAAATTTCCATCAAATTTTCTATTAATACCTGTACGACCATCACGAAATTTTTGCCTAAATCTTTGGTAGATTATTTATCTTATCTATACTCACAAGTCTCTACTAGAAGATCCGTAAATTTGCGAACCATCCACAAATGCAGTGTTTTCATTCAATTGCTCTCTAGGTCTACTCGGGTTCCCTGTACCACAGACAGGCACAGCTCTTGAAATTTTCAAGCAACCTTTCTGTCTAAATGCATCATTCGTATCCTTGAAAATTTTTTAACTTAATTGATCTTTTATATATTACCTTATTCGAGATTGTAACAGGAACACATTTACTCGGAATGACATCACTGAACATTAATTATACATATATCATGAAGACTTGAACAAAAAACAGATCTTACTTACCAGGTACCACAATTGGCAGTAGGATGAAGGGTCTAAAAAATAATCGTGTACATATTTGCTAGAATATATTTATTTCTCCCTTACAGTTCGGGCCATGTCATGTGAAATGAATTGTCCCCATTGCATGAGTAGCTGTTTTTAAAAAAGTAATAAAATATTTTTAACTGAAAAATTTCATGTATCAAGTTTAGTACCGAGTTTAATTGTTCATGAGCGTGCATTTGAGAGCTAGCCAAAAGTAAACGTGATGCCTCACGTGGAGTAGGCCTACGAGCGCTAGTTGAAGCTATAATTTTAAGACTAAATGGAAATCTTGGATATTAATTAAATATAAATTTAGTCAAAACATACAGACTGGTTCGGAAAAGCCATCCTCATACTGTGCAGGCAAGTGTCTAAATATAAGTTGAGTATATCCCTCACTAATTTTCTCACCTAAGATATGCACGAAAAGATGCGCCAAGTAAGGGCCGCTTAAGATTATTACATGTTCCTACAAAATGCATATTTGCATAATAAATACTAACAGAAGTACCGTCCATACTCCTGTAAGCAAGGTGGAAGCATAATGAACGAGAACATTCGAGCGAGTTCAACTCTGGAACACACCCAGAAGGGACAGCCCGTGTGATATCATCCAAGGACAATATTTGTCTACCAGCAACATCCTCTATTGCTTGTAAAAGACCAGAACTTGCCAATTGCTCTGCAGCATTTTCAGTCTTATCGGCAATTTCTGCACAAGAACTTGCCCCCTTTTAGAGTTAAAAATAATTAAGCACATAACACCTAGTAACCTTTCCTCTTTGAACAGTTCCTTGTTTTTGGATTGGTGCCTTGAATGAAGTTTCTCTGGATGAGCTACTTACTGGGCTCTTAGAATTAGTAGCATGAACAACTGACGGAGATGTTGGTTGAATGCGTGGAGGTGGGTGAACTAGTGTTGCTAATGGCGCGCTATTGGAACGACAGGTAGCACAAGCCAATTGACAATTTTCATTCATCCATTCGATGTTAGCCCTGCACTCACCAATAGAAGCCCAGAAACGACACCACTCTTAAAAATGGAAAATACTTTATACATACATATCTTTCATGAATATGCCAATTTGTAATCAAAAATATGATTATAAACTTATAGTTACCATGTTGATCACAGCATCCATTGGATAAGCATTTAAATTTACTTGTTCTTGGAGCACTTAGCTGTCCATAGCATTCTAATTTAAAAGTTTTAATAATTTATTAGTGGCTCAAAAACTTGCCTTGAAAAAGCATGGCAACAATCAAAAAGATAAAAACATTACTGGGCCGGCAGTTTTCACTTTGTCTATTATTTGTAATAGCTACTTGTTGTATTCTAAATATACATATGTAATTTGCTTTATAAATTTTTAGATTAGAGCCTAATATTTAATGGAATTAGGTGAATGAGATTTTCAGATTTTTTATTTCGGAAATAAAACAACTACAGATTTAATAATGTACATATAACAAAATAGATTCCTTAAGCCTTAAGCGCTCTCATTATCGGAAACACTCACCTCTTTTTTTGCTTCTGTCGTCCACTTATATTTATAACTGAAGTACCGCTTGTTCGATTTAGAGCACTTTGTTGCAACATGTTGCTTTATTGCAGCTTATTAATCACTAAAACAAAAAGGCCAGCTCCTTTTAAATATTGGTGAGCTTCCAAATATAAAATAGATTGGTCAGCAAGACAAAAAGTTGAATTATTAGATTTTAGTATGTATACTTGTTTTTGCTACTAATCTGCCTTCTCAATAATAATTTAGTTTGGGCCATCAGGCATTTGTAAGAATGGATGGGCAATTTCATTGGAAATAGTTTGAAAATCCGGTCGCAAAAGGATTATTAAGTTAAGTGGACGAAGAAATAATGATTGGTTTGGGGAAAGTCTGGCCGCGCATTTTATGAGGGAACATGATAGGAACAATGGAGAGGTTGAGGGTGAAATGAACGAAGTGGAACTCGGAAACGACTGCGCAAAAGGGTTGAGGAGGTTATTGTGGGTAATGTAAATGGAAAAAGCAATAAACAAGCGAAATGAGCAACACACAAACATAACACGCAATTGTGACGATGTGAAGACATGAGGAGGGGAAAAGAGTAAGCTGCCAAATAATTTAAATGATCAAATAAGCCCATAAGGCCAATAATCATAATGCCACTTACTCCGTCCGAGGTTAACATAAATACAAATTTATTTTAATTAGACACTCATGAAGGTTAGATGAGTTAAATAATTGTCCTAAAACAACGCTACCATTTTATTTCATTTCGTTTGTTTTTTTGTGCATTTGTTGAAAGTCCGTATACACAGCTTTGATTAATTGGCGATGTCCCTCTGGGTATTTACACAACAATCGCCAAAAATCTTACAATGAAATTTCTTTAAGACCTTGAAAACATCATGAGCAAAGTGCAGAGAAAGGTTTATATTGCATTAATTCTATTTTTAACAAAAATTCAAAAACTATCGCATTGACACTTAACAATTTAAAGACAAAAAAAGATAGAAAAATAGTAAAATAGCAAATATTAGTTTAAATAAAAAATACAATATATGGGTATAAATACAATATATGAGGAAAAAGTGAAACTTAAAAAAACGCGAAGTGAAAAAAATTATCAGAAATATGAAAAAGCTAATTAAAAAACCGAAGAACTTAATCAAAAAGTGTATTCTGTGTACAAATATTCAATATTCAATTACTAAATTCCTTTATATAAAGAAAAACATATTGCACCCACCCATAGATATTTCCCGACGTAATCAGAATGGAATGATGATTATTTTGGGAGTGGAAATGAAAAAGTAGAATCTGCTTTTTGTCATACGACTAAATATTTTATTTCAAAATATTTTAATTAAAAAATGAAAATGGAAATAAATAAGGAAATTCAGGTATTGAAAAGGCAAATATGTAGGAGGAGATTCCATGAAATAATAAAATTTAATGCGCAAAACAAAAAAATATGCATTGGTTAACCTTAAAATGTTTACCACCTTCTCTTTTAAATTCAACTTATTTACTCCTAAATAAGTGAAAAAATTCGCAGTTTTAAACTTTTAAATTTTTTCGCAGAAATTTAAATTACGTTAATTTCTGTTTTTTCGAAAAAAATGAAAATTTTTATTTATTTGGTATGCTGCCAGAAAAAATTATGTTGAAAATAATAAAAATATTTTCAACGTAGCAGCAATATTACATAAATATAAACGCTTGTTGGAAGGGGCATGTTAAATGTGTAGAATTTATTTGCTTTTAATTTTGTAAACTCCGTTCCAATTTTTCTATTTATTTGAAATTACAATAAACACTGTTTACAATGAGGAAAATATTTTTCCTGTTATTTAAAATTGCAAAAAAAGTAGTTTAAAAAATTTAAAAACAACCTAATTAAACAATTCGAATAATTTATTGGCGAAAAAATTAAGTTTGATTATAAACTTAATAAATTAAATTAGAATGCATAAATTTACTTGCATAAATGTGAGAGTATAGCAAAGGATTACTATGAAGAACTATTTGATGACCAACTGTCAGCCTCGTCCTAATTAATCACATGTATGACAACCTTGCTAAATTGCATAATCGATCAAATAAAAACTATATATGGGTCAATGTGATGCTATATTGGTCACTTATATACTTAACCTAAACATAACTAATTTTTAAAAATAACTTGTTCAAACTTTTTTTAGTCTTGAAAATATTTGTTTTCAACAATACATATAAATGAAAATGGAAAATATTTTTAGCAAGAGGGATTATTTAAATCAAAACCTAAGTCCAGATGAGCTTTGGGATCCCATTCCTGCACCTTGATTTTCAAAATAGAGGGCCGATGGCTGCAATTGTCTCGGCTTGCGTTGCGCAGCGCAGGAAATTGATAGGCATCTTTCTCGTGCACCCAGTGCCCATTCAATATTTGTTTGAGGCCAAATGAACTCAATATTTTCATAATTTTTATTATTGAGTAGCTCCTGGCTAAGACTGCGTCCTTGTAGCTCTATCTGATAAGAAAATAATAACTCAATGTATGTTAACTCATTAATCTAATACATAAAAATGCATATTTTTTAAGCGTGTTACAAACCTGATCATACCAATGGTGCTGGGTTTCTGGCAAGAAAATAAAATTAGTAATTGCAAATTTAATTTGTGATTAAGGCTTAACGAACTTCCAAAGCAGCTGACACTGATCTTGACCTAAATATAATTATTTATTCACATACATATATTTGACAAAAATTATATTTTCATTTTTCGAAAAATATAAAAATTCTTAATTTGTATACACTAATTTGCTTAATTTATTATCATTATAGTAATTTAATTAGGTATTATTGTAATTTTACCTTGGCAAATTCAATATCTGAAAAGCGGACCAACAACGTAGGCCTAGGAAAATTAACCAATATATATTTCCAATTCTAACCTTTGACACTGCATCAGTAAACGTTCTGCTTCCTCTTTACCACAAAAGCCAAAAATTAATCTACAAATATAAAATAGTAAAATAAACTACAAACAATACCCGTCATTCCACATTTGCAAAAAATGTTTGTTCACCATTTCGGCCTAAATTAATGTAAAAACCTATTATCATATATTCCTAAATCACACCAATTTGAAGAACCATTCAAAGAATGGAACCAATTTCCATTCTCCATCAATTGCACCAAGCAAATTTGTACCACCACTACTATTGGCAAGAGGAGTTTGAGCTCCGCTTTCCTTAGCACTAACAGCCTTTTTATTTATACAAAATTCTTCAGCTACTGGCATCTAATAGTTATTGTTTAAAACATTTTAAACTTTGAAGCAGAAAATGCATAAACCCTTCTTGGGAAATGAAAAAGTACATTTATAGTACCCTATAAAACTAAATTTTACAAAGATTTAAAAGTGTCTAATCAAAGAAATATTCGTATATTTATAGATCAACATACCCTCAAAAAATTCTCAACAGGCACCTGTCCATTAACATCCGGCTTAAGTCTAAAAGGAAACATTTTAGGAAAACAAGTATCAAGAATATCATAGTAAACAATGTACAACAAATTTACTTACCTTCCTAGAAGATGCTGTTTTGATACAAGATTAAACGGTCTAGGTTGGTTTAGAGCGATTTGATCGGTAGGTTTTTGTGGAATCTCAAGTAAAGCCTAATGTGTTTTTATTATAAGAATAAAAAGGATAAAAAAGCCTGAAATTTCATTTCAAGTGCATTCACCATCTCTTGACCATTCACGAGGGCTGGCAACTCTCCATCCGGTCGTCGTACCTACTATCTAATAGTTAGAATAATAACCGAGAATTACGAAATCAGCAAATGAGCGTTCCATAAACAATTTGGCATCGACATCCATTTTTGGTCCAACCTTAATTTCGAATTAAATTTAATTAAAAAAAGTTAAACTTACAAGAATAGCGAAAGGCAATGAAACCTAAAAAAAAAAGTATTTAAATTAAAACTGAAACAAGAAACCTACATAAAATAATTTAAAATGTCAAAAATAACTTTAAGAAAACCTTTTTTCCAACCAAATCAATTTGATGCTTTAAGGTTTGTAGTTTAATCGTGTAGCAGAGATGGTATCGTTTCTAAAATGCACACATTGTTATGTTAAAACATTTAAAGTAAAAAAGCAAATTAAAATAACAATTATATACTACCTGTGCTACAGACTCCCTCCGTAATTGCTCCTTCTTTGCTACGCGCTTAATAGAAACAATGTTTTTAACGTATAAACTATCTTAATGTTAGAAAATATTTGATACATGCCATGTCTTCAAATTTTGCAACCATTATAGGCCCAATTGGTTGGTCATTTCCAGAACCTTCAACTATCGTTTGATCAAAATTCTTCAAATGACCAATCATTGGTTCAACAGCAAACTCTTCATGTTCACAACTGATATGAGTTAATTAGGTTTAATTAAGTTTAAATTTATAATTACATGTCATGGTATGCATTATTTCGCAATCTTTTAGCCTGATTAATAATAATTCAATTAATACATTTGAAATGTATCTAGAAAGTTTTGTCTCTAATTTATTATGTCAATTTTTTTAATTTTTCATATTAAGTGGAATTAAAAACTTGACAGTAAATTCCTAAAACAAACAGTTTCGTCAGTGATCAAAAGGCATTGAATGGAAACTCCATCTACCAAACGATCCAATCCAAAGGCACGTCCGCCTAATATCCTAAACACATATAATATAATAAGTTAATTCTCAATTCAATCAATCTTATTTTTCTTATAAAATCGAAAAAATGTGAACCTTATTTCCGTATTAAACCAGAATCGACTACGCCTGTGATTTTCAGCCTCACCGCATTTAACCACAACTAAAATTTCAAAAAAGCTCTAATGAAAATTGTTAATTTTATTCTAGTAGAAGAATTTAGGTGTTGCTCTAATGTTAATTTTTTCAAAACTAACCTGAAGGCGGTTGGCGTGATACCTTAAAAATTTAAAAAGATTTTAAAATATAAAAAAATAATAAAAATTACAATAATTGAGTAGAAAAGAAAAAGATGAGTCATTTGTCGTAATTGCTGTTGGTATTGCTCAAACCCGATACCGGGATACTCTGAGACTAAATAGCCCAGACCTGTCAGGGTCTGTTCCAACAATTCGCCAAAATATTCGAACCTATAAAATAGATTTTTCATCAATTATGATTTTATTTACTGTGTGTCGATTGTGTTCAAAAGTGAATAATTCATCTGTTGGGTCCACTGCGCTGCCACCTGCCGATAAATAAGTTTAAGTAAATAACATACCTATATTCTTACAGAAAGCTTTTGCTGCTGTACAGCCCAGCCACAAAGCACCTCACTCATCTTAATGATAATTATAATTATTTGAATATTTTAGGAACCAGATATTGCTTTTCTGCTTCCATGGAAATCAAAAGCTGCCCTACAATAGTTAATATACGATTAACAAATTCAGCCTGCTTTTCTGGTAGGATTTTACGAGAGAACAGAGTGTCAACATTATCCTGTATAAGATTGAACCTCTATGGTTTAAAAGGATTTTCAACCTTGAATATCTGATATATCTCAGCCGTTGTGTTGTGCCTTTCCACAAACTTATCTTGATCAGAATATTCATCTAAAATTGTAGACGTAAAATTATTTTCCGATTTATCACCAACGTAATTAGTTATTAGATATTAATAAAGCATTTAATCACCTAGACTCCTATAAGAATTTGCACGTGATACTTGTTTATCCCCTCCATCACCAAGTGTTTGTAATGAAAATGAGTTAACATGAGCAACCTGCACACCTTGCCGATTCAATTCAGATGGACAAAGTTCCATAAGCTGTTGGTTAAACTTATTTTAATATTTGATTATTATTATACCTGCTGAGGAAATATAGTAGGTTGTTTCTGATTAACTGATCCATTCAACATTGTAAGAGGCATTCAAATTTCATTCTTCATGTCAACATGTAAGAAGAAAATTAAATTAATTTGAGGTGTGGAAACAAATAGGTGTTTACTACTAAAATAAGAAGGTGGTGTATGCGCAATTGATTACCACAAAGTTGATGAGAAACAACAATAAAATGAATAACTCTCGCAGATAAAGAACTTGCTCGATATTAGTCAGTAAATTTGTGCAGTTTTAATATTTGAAACGTAAGAACGAAAGGCAAAAATCAAATGGGCAAGTAAAATATTCCGCACATTTTTAAGTTTTTTTTAATAATTACATACAACGAAATGGAAAATTCTTTATCGAGAATTAAATATTCTAAACAGATTTCTAATACTCAATTATTTATAAAATTTATTATTAAAGTAAAAAATACAAAATGCCAGTTCTCGTTTATTTGACAAAGTTAATGATTTAATGGGTAACAAAGGCCAGTCAGTGAACAGATTTTAACTAGATAAATTGAAACGCGAGTGAATCGAGCCAACTAAAATAAAAAAAACTTGTCACAAAATATCAAGTCAACAGTATACTAATCTATAGATGTATAAAGTCATTAACCTCATTTGAAGCACATTGTCTCGAGCCATAAGAAGTGATTCCAATAAGCTCTAAATATTCAATACAGTAATAACTTGTTCAAATTTACAACTTGTCTAAGTAAAATGCATCTCAAATTATGTTTATTGTTACCTTTTTGTTCAACATCTCTTGATGGTTTTACCACCATGCCAACTTTTAAGGAATCATCACTCGATACTGATGAAATTATTTTGTCATTTATTGAAGTGCTTGAATCTTTTTTTGTTTTGATATTCCTCCTTAAACGTTGTCGTTTCTTTTTTGCATTTGACCAGCTACGCATAAATTCCAGCTGAGGAACAGCAAGTGGAGAATGTAATATTTGTCGAGAAACTATAATATCAATTTGTTATCGAAAATTATGTTATTTTCAATATTACTAGCAGTTTCTCCATTCTTAGATAAATCATGTGTCATATTGTTGTTGAGAATCCCTATATTTCTGACAGATGTTAAATGGACGCGTTTTGAATTACGTAAATCTTCCATACCAGATCCGCTATCACCCTTAAAAGAAATAATTAAATGAAATAAACATTTTGCTAAATCCAGTCAAACTGAATGCTGAATGTAATTTAGAACTTTAAACAAACGTGGCAAGTTCGCAAAGTACGAAAATCTCTAGGGTTCAGAGCCTTTGCACAGAGATAATCCTCACTACCTTGTTAAAATTAAAAATTGGAAATCAAGTTACAAAAATTACACGTCAGTTGGCATCCTATAAGTAACTTTCTAAATAAATTTGTAAGAGGATTTATAAACCTGTCTGCCCACGGCCTCTTCTAAAATAATTATTTGAACAATAGCATTAAAGCTAAATTTTACCTTACATCCCGCATCGTGGCGCATTGGTATCTCTCGAATTAGAATATCACCTTTATGAAAAGCTGAAAAAACTAAGTATTGGATAGAATTAATTAATCGTACCATCCCTTCTTCCCCAGCTGCTCACAGTGAGAATTTTACCATCCTCTGGAAGTTGCCCCTTCATAGGAAGACAAATCGGTTGCACTACATCAGAAAATTTGATTCTTCATTAAAATTTTATTGGTGAATTAAATTTAAGACGAGCTACCGATCTTCAAGTTCAACAATTGCCCAATCGTGTCCATTAATACATTCTAAGTGTGTATAAGTCTACAATATACAATAGATACAATATACCTCCATCAGCAAACCCATCGTCTATATAAATTGCCCTGATCTGAACTTATAGAAATGAAAGAAAAACAATTCAACATACACGACTATGTGTAATATTTGCTTTGGAACATGCTGGATCATTTTCCTCTTCGCGAATACAGTCCGAACCATATGCTAAAATTTAATGTTTTGGCAAGTTTTTAAATATCCGTCTTACCAACGCTCCACGAGCTTTGCAAATCGCTGAAACGTCTATATCCGGTAACTCTTAAATTTAAACAACATTCTTATAAAAAACTATAAACAATCTACAACAACTCCGAAAATTGTTGTTTAAGTATACAAAAAGCCATAACAAAAATCAGTTATAACACGACTTACTCACAAGGACCGCCACCACTATTGTCGAATAAAACAAATCCGTGTGCAACTGTAAGAACATGGAAAGGAGAAATCACACTGCCACCCAATTTGTTGCGCCCCTAAAAAGTAAAAAAATTTCGAAATACTTTCTAGCGCGCTTCTAGAGGTTAATTACTTTTGTCATTAGAGATACCGCCCACGGATGTTTTCTTCCATTCTTCATTTCAGTAGAATGACCACACTCCACAGCTAATAGCTCATTCTCATCTGAGCTCAAACGCCTTAACGACACGTCTCAAGATAGAAAGATTAAAAAGGTAAAGAGTATAGTTACGCACTTGGCGGCAAGAAAATAGAGTTTACACTAATTAAGAGGACTAAAATTGCATTCAATAAAATGTTAAATCTAACACAAGGCTTTAACAAATGCAGTTTATACATATTCAAGTTTTGAACCCACAGCATATTTATGAAATGACATCAGATCATCAGTTTCCTAAACTCATTATTAAGTTGTTCCGTGAAAATAGACGAAGAATAGGCTGGAATCAATTTAACAAAAATCTTAAATCTATAATATGTTTACACGTACACAGTTCAGACTCAAGACAATGGAAAATAATGACGAAAACCTGAACGAATATGTACGAAATTAGTGGAACAAAGTCAACTCGCTTTTACTGCCCTCCTTTGTTCTTCTTCAAAAGGCCATTAGTCGTTGTAAGAAATATGATTGCGTAAAAGTAAAATGATTAATCGTCAGTTGAAAGGAAAACAAAATATGAAGCGAAATAAACAAATTGCCCTACCCCAACAACCAATTAACTTAAAAACACTCATAAAATTTAAATGTCTAAATTATCAATTGCCAATCCGTTTGTAATTTCTAAATTAAGTGACAATACTAAAAATTTAGGAAAGAGTTTAAATTTAAAATACAATGCTTAAAAGACGAAAACAGTTCCTATACATAAATTAACAAATAATTTGAGCCAATCAGTTCAATCTACGTACACCAGTATAAGCAGTTACATGTCTTGATGGATCTGACGATTTTCCTGATCCCGATATTCTTCTTTGCTGAACATAAGAAGGTTCTAAATTTATTTTTATTAATCCATTCATTTTAAAGAAACTACATATTTGCATAAATAAGCGATTTATAAAGGACAAACCAATTTCAACTTGAGAACTGAACAATGGGAAGCTCAGCTCATCGTTTGACAAATTGAAAGGAGGGGTAACATGTTGGTGATGAAAAGATGTTAGTTTTCCTTGGATTGGACTTGTTGGTACATTCTCTAAATCAGAATCTTTTTCAGTTGCTCGGTTTATGTTCTGCATAAATCTGAAAGACTGGAGTTATTTAGTTAGTTAAATTAATTGAGTTGTCAAGAAACTAAGAGTTACAATTTTTACTTGTTAGTTAAGTTCAGTCAGATAAAGTACCTGATGATGTCCTGAGCGACTTTCCATCTTTGCTTTCTTTTAGCCTCTTCAAGCAGCTTACAAGCGAGCTAAAAATAATAAAATATATTAAAATTAAAAATATAAAACCTTAGAACTTTCATCAATACTCGTCAAACTATGTAAAATGACCAGACAACTCGTAGCGAGCCTAAATATAAAATTTTTAGCAATGCTCTAATTAAAACATACTCAAGACGACTTTCCTCGAGACACATCTGGAAAAGTTGTCGAGGGTGGTTGCTCACGAAGAAAAGAAGATTCCAAAAAGCAAGCTCAGTTTTGCGAGCACAGTGAATAATAGTTGCTAGATATTCGTCCGGAAATTCACGCAAGAATGAAACAACCCTAGGTAAGAGTGGATCTAAAATATAAAAAATAGTAAGAGAATGTTTATTTTTGTCATTAAAAACCTGGTATCGGTTCCGATGACGATGCTTCCTAAAAACGTAATTTAAAACTATGTCATTTAGTTTATAAATATTTACGCCTTTACGGCAAGATTAAAACAATTCAAACAAATCTTTAAAAAACCTCGTCCAACAGATCGTGTAAAAGAAGCTCAAGTATATGTCCAAAATAAGAGATGGAACGACAAGCAGACGCTAGATCAAAAGCATACGATCCTTGAATAAAATATTAAAATTAATAACTCAATTGCATGTACATACCTAGATTTCGCTTTAAAAGTTGTTTGATTAATTTGTGAATAAAAACCTGGAATTTTACATTACACATATTTCGTAAATTAAAAGAAACTTCATATGTTTTTGTTAAGCTCCGCACTGAAAGAACAGCGTCATCATCACTCTTTGCTAAAGAAACAAAATCGCTAAGTGAATCACACTCCGTAAGCTCTGAAGTGGTTGAAATGTCATCAGTAGAAGCAACTTTGCTTGTGATATTGGAAAAACTCAAAGAAGTTACATTCGCTCCACAAGCCAGATAATTATGATCAATATCTTTAATTAAATAAAAATTAAAGGCAAAAGCAGAAAAGAGATACAGAATGGATAAATTTCCAGACTGAATGGAATCATAATTCGACGCGATATGAAGGCACGGGAATTTTGTCGAAGTTGTGGCAGCTTAATGAGATCAGCTGATATGTTTTTGTCTTGAGAATCAATTGAAAGCGGCAACCACAACTAGGATGAAAACAAAATTAATTGCAAGCAAATTTAACAAACCCTGAACTTTCTACACCCTGCATTTATCCAAAGTGCTTCACTTAAATAAGGAATTGTAAAATTGTGTTTCTCATCACAAAAAGAAGATGAGCAACTAAAAGGATGCACAATCCAGAATTCTTCTACATATGATGCCACTAATGTCGGCGGGTGTAGCTAAAATATATAGATTTAGCTACTGATATAGAATTTAAAATTTACTTGAAATTCTAATATGTTTTCATTGAAAATTTCCTTATGTTGGCCTTTCATCTGTTGGACAGCGGATTCCATAGGACTCAAAAGTAACAAATGCCCAGATGCATTTATAAGTAATGAATCAAGATCACTGCAAAATGACAAAGCATCTAAATGGAATTATAATCTCATTGTTAGTACCAATACTTAACTACAGATTCAAGAATTTGTAGATAAGTAACAAAAGAAAACATACATAAATAGAAAATTACCTGAATGAAAGTTAAGCTTTGCCAGTTCCATAGATATTAGACCTAAAAACAAAAGAAATAAAAATATATTTAAACAAAAACTAAAATTTGGATGATGGAGAAACTCAGCAACTCTGATTTCAGCAATACACTCAATTAGTAATTGTTTCGTGTCCGAAATTGTAAGTGAGTATATGCTGATCATTGAATCAACTCCAAAAGTCAACAGAAAAGAATTACTATAAAAACAAGTACTAGATGTAAAAATTTCAAGAACTAGAAATAAATAACCATATTTTCATCTGGAGAATTCTATTAGTAGAAATAAAATGAGCCAAATCTACATCAAGTTGATCTTCTATACGGAAAACATAGAGTAGTTCGTCCTTTGTGTCAAGGTTACATGCTGCACAAAGAATGAAAGAACCAAAAATGTCTAACCCTCCAGTAAGAAATAACGATCTTTCCTAAAGAGAAAAACGACCGTATAAAAAAACGATTGCAAGAAAAACGACTGCATACTTAAAAAAAGAATCATGCGTTTTTCTAGAAAGTTCTTAACTTAAGGTATAACCTCAGCTTCCTTTCTGAACATTCGCCATTTTTTAGTTCTAAAATTGAAAAAACAAAATCCGTGGGATCCTCCAATCGCCAGTATCTTATCAAAATCAATATGTCTACTGACTGAGACGTGCTATAATTAACAAATAGAACAAATAAATTATAAAAAAAGTTAAAAAAACTTTTATCGGCCAATTTGCAGTGATATAGCCATGAGGAGGTTTTATCAGCTGCCATATCAAGTGGCTAGCAATCTGCTCGTTTTGAGTTGTTGGACAGACAAAAATGCGATCTGAGCCCACAAATACCATCGCATCATGTATGTTCTGAAGAATGGAATTATAATTGAGGGTAAGTAAATGTGAAAACCTGTATAGATTTAACAATATTGATCAAATGAAGATTACCATTTGATGTTCCAAGCCAAAGTTGATAACCTTCCAACGACCAATCCATAGATGTATATTCATAATTATCAAAAGCTGTATTACTAAAGTCAAAAATAACCAAAATATCAAAAGATTTTAATACCTTTGACGATTTTTACCTAATGCAATTGTACTATCTTCCAAAGAACACCACCATTGTTCACCAAAAGGACTAAAGATTGCCAAGACTGGTGGACAAGACATATGATGACTATTAGTTTTTGCACAAATTAGTTCAGCATCTCCATTAATAAGATCGCCTATGGTATAAAATAAATTTAAAAAAAGTTATGTAAATACCATTGTGGTTATTAGAGGCAAATTTCTGTTTAGAATCCCACAAAACAGCAAAAGCATCACCAGAAGGACTTAAGCAATTTATTTGTCTAATAGAAGAAAGCTTTTCTAACAGCTCAGTTCCATCTTTGATAGATAAACCTATTCTGAAAAGTTGAATCAGTCCACCATCTACATCGTTCGTTGAATACGCAGCGATTTCACCGCTATTAAAAAATAACTATGATTAACAATAAGTTTATGAGATTACGCGATACCATGTTTTTATTTTAAAAAATAAAATTTGCTATAAAGGTGAAACAAACTTTTTACATCCAAAATAGAGAAGACGGAATTTAAAATTAGTCGAGCAACAACAAGCATCATTTAATCCTCCAGCAAAAAGAATGCTTATCGATCCAGGACGAAATTCAGAAATACTAGATACAACTAACGCAGCCTTGCCATCGCTATAAACAATACAGATTCCACCGAGAAACGGAGAAATGTCGGAGACAAAATAACCAACATCTTTACGTTGATCTAAAAAATTGAAATATAAAATTTAACAAAAATTATATACTTTTATTGAGGCTAGTTTGCTCATGTTGAATAGAACGAATATTGAAGGAAAGTTCATGTAAAATATTTCCTGACCAACTTAGTCTGTGCAACCAACCATCTTTTAAACAAACGAACAATTCCTCTTTGAATGTAAGAATGCTAACATAAAATTAAATTAAAAATTGATCCTACGAATAAAAAATAAGACCACGTTGGTGTAGATTCCAATCTTGCCACAACGGCTAGATTTACGTTGATATGCGGCCTGCTTTTATTCATGAAGAGCTCAGTCGATTCACGAGTAAAATCTGTATTTTCTCCGACAGGATCGTGTAAATTGAACGATGATTCACGTGAAATTTCAACATTAAATATGCAAACAAAATTCTTTGAAGTCTAAATTAACAAACTAATAATAAACAATGGACAGCAAAAACTAACCGTCACAGCAATCGCAGTAGAGTCTGGTTTCCAATATGCTGTTTTGAAAAAGCCTCTTTCTGAAATATCTTCATCCTCTCTTTGATAAATACAAGCTAACAGATGAGTCTAAAATGAAATTTTTAGTTGAACTTTATATATATTTTTTAGTTATTAAAAAAGAGAAAAGCTTACATCCGCAAGGTAAAAGTAGAGAAAAGTATTTGTCAACGCAACAAAGATGTTGTGTTCTCGATTTGATACTAGTGAATTGACAGATTCTGAAAAAGTTAAATGAAGCAGGTAGTCGCACCCTTCCTTTGAAGAAAAGATAAATTAATAATAAGATGAAACTAACCGGTAAAAGCATAGTAGATAATTAACACAAAGTTGAAATATTAAATTAGGAAGAAAAAATAACCATTAAATATAATCTTAAATGTCAAAAAAGTAAACATTATTAAATGGATGTGATCAAATAGAAATCTAAATTATAAGGCAAATTCTGATTTCAGAGCTAGAAAAAATAAGTTTTTTTAAATTTTGGCGTTAATAACATAATGCCAAATTTGTGTTCATTAATTGTTTAAAAGTTTGGCTTCCTTTTTTATTGATTTCTGATTTGATTGTTTTGCTTTTGTGATTGTTTGTTTTTTGTTTGTGTTTTATTCGTGTTTTTTCGTGTTTTTTTTGTGCTTTTTGTTTAATCTCTTTATCTTCTATTATTTTATCTTCTATTCTGTCTTTCTAAAGCGCGCGAGGCAAAAAATTGCGAAAAAAACTAAAAAAATTAAAATTAAAAATTTTTTTCAACTTTTTCACTTATAGGCTGGCAGATTTTCTACATGGTGGTACGTCTACTAGCTGGTCTTTTGGCTGATTTTTCAAAATGTTTTTTCAAGGTGATGTGCAACAATGGCAGCATGGAATGGTTTGGTGTGGTTGTGTTTTTAAAGATTATTTTAATTTTAAATTAAAAAATGACTTTTTTTTATTTTTGAGATTTTGGGGCTTTCAGCTGTTGATGGTGGAAGAACATGCGTTGGATGGTGGAGCTGAAGAATATGGGGTTGTTTGGTTTTTTTAATATTTTTTTAACTTAAAATTTTTTAAATTAAATTTTTGATTTTTAAGAGATTTGCGGACTTTCAGCTGTTTGGTGGCAGAACGGAAGAATATGCCGTTGAATGGTGGAAGAACATGCAATGGATGTTGGAAGTATGGTCTGGTGTGGTTCTTTAATTTTTTTAATTTTAAAAAATTTTAATTAAAAAAAAATAAAATTTTTTATTTCAAGAGATTTGGGGGCTTTCAGTTGTGGATGGGGGAAGAATATGCTGTTGAATGGTGGAAGAACATGCAATGGATGGTGGAAGAACATGCAATGGATGGTGGAAGTATGGTTTGGTGTGGTTCTTTAATTTTTTTAATTTTAAAAAATTTTAATTAAAAAAATAAAATTTTTTATTTCAAGAGATTTGGGGGCTTTCAGTTGTGGATGCGGGAAGAATATGCTATTGAATGGTGGAAGAACATGCAATGGATGGTGGAGGTGCTCTTGGTTGCTTAAGGAACATGCTTTTGGTGGTGGAAGAAGATGCTCATTCTGGATGTGAGTTTGCCATGATTTTGAAAAAAAGGCAAAAAATTTGCGCTAAAAATTTTGCGCAACTGCGATCTCTCTCATTTTCTCTTTTCATTTTTCTTGCGATCTCTTCTCATTTTTCTCTTTCTTTCATTCTCTTTTTTGAAAATTTACCAGATCAACTTGTCTTCAATTAAAAATGGAATGGGATAAAATTTACCACCGGCAGAATATGGACGGGGGCTTTTTTGGAGCATCAGAATATGGAAAACGTGCTTATTGAACTGAGTCGGGGTTTTCCTACCCCTGATTTCCAGGTCCTTAAATTTTCCATTTGTGGGGATGGTGTGGTTTTAAATAAAATTTTTTTGGCATAATGTATTTTTTTCAAACATTTTATCTCTCACCACTTAGAGAAAAAAAGGAAAACGAGAGATGAGTTAAATATAGACGAGAGAAATCTTTTCGCTTCTCTTTCCTCCGTTTGATGTTGCGTATGAGTTTTTCTGCTAATCCATATGGAACAGTTTATGAGGTGAATGAGTACCAAAATACCCCAAATAATTGTCAAGAAAAAACAGCTCATAACCAGTAACGAAAATGTAAGAAATTTACTTTTTTGAATTAAATTTTTATTCTGTATTATTCCTTATCTTGTGCAATTGAATGTTCTTCAGTATTGTTGTATTCATTTTTCCGTCTTACTTGCCAATTCAGAACAAAAATTCTGAAAAAAATAGGTTTACTATGTGGTTGAATTCCCTGTTACCTTGCAATTTTTGTGATGTTCTTGTACTTTGTTCACCTCTTCTTGGACCCATTGAGCTACTAATGAGCAAGTAAAATCCTTGGAAAAATATATAATATCCCTACAACTCGAATTATTACTTTCTCAATCTCAGGTAGCGTCTCATTGTATTCCATTACACGGGTTGTGAACCTAAAAATTCGCGTTGTTTATTAACAAATAGTATGGTCGATCAAAGTATGATCAACCAAGTCAGCCTGTACAACCTTACCAGGAAAGGTACTGAGCGCTCCTTTGCAAACTATCTGCCGTCTTTAGCAGCCCTTCGGCAGTCTTCAATCTATTTTTTGCGGTCTTTTCAATCTGATTTGATAAAAAGTATATCAAACTCGCATAAGTTTATTACATTGTCACCATTTTCACTGCCCTCTATTAGAGAATGTAGCTCATTGCTTTCTCTAATCAAAATATAAGAATTTCTGTATCTAGAAAATATTGCCAAACCTATGTAATTTTGCTCCCAGTGTGTTTCGTCTCCACGAAAGCCAAGAAACATCCGATTTTCCTATTTCTCCTTCTGTAAGATTCTCTTGATTAAGCATCTTCAGGAGAAATAAAATATCTCTTGCAAAATTAATTAAAATTAACTGGTTTTAATGCAGCCAAGGTTCGTTCAGAATCTTCTAACTCTCTTAAGTATTCATCGATTTGATCTTCAAAGCATTCCTATGTAAGAATAGAAATATATTCTATCACTACTTTTAGTTATTTCTATAATCTTACATTATCTAAAGCGTATTTCTATAAGCTTACATTGTCCTTATTCTCCAAAAGTTCATTAAGTCGGCCTGACAAACTATGCATGTGCGTGATTCTGAAAGAATGCCTTTTAGCTTCATAGATCCGTTTTATTTAGAAATCAGGATGGTTAACTCATGAAAAAGCAGATAAAGCATTGTAAAAAATGAAAAAGATAGGATGTTTTTACTACGGTGAAAACAATCATATAAAGATCATGACGCCTTCAGGAGAAACTTACGTTCCATCGATTTGCTGTGAAACTTCTTCTAAACTCGGAACATCACTAGGCTTCTTAGGGACTAAAATAGTACATGTTAATTAGGACTTCTTTAGAAGCCGATTAGCGCATGAAAATTTACCAGCGCCTTCAGAGACACCTCGAGGTTGTCTGAGAAAAACCGATCCAAAGAGGAGATTGTCGACGATTAGTTGAATATCACGGATCTCATTGACAATCTATTTGTCGGTAATAAATATTTTATTTTCACAACTACCTGATCGAAGTGCAAATCTTTATGATGATGTCCAACACCTTTACTTGCATTCATGCCTTCTGTCATTATCAAGGCTCTTCTATATTTTTTACATTAACAGTGATTTGTTTCACCAGTTAATTGACTACTTTCATGCTGTTACGGAATTTAATACGAAAAAATTTGGCAGTTGCTCACTTGAATGGATATCTTAGAATAGAGGATATAGTAAAATCGATCGATCATCGTCGCAAGGCAAAGAAAGGAAGGGTAAAAACAAAAACAACCGAAATTGAATTAAAAATTATTTATCCAAGAGATTAACTGGCAAGAAAACATATAGGAAATGATCTCAGGTATAAATACGTAAATAAGACACATTTTATATTTGTTTTTTAGTAACATCACGTAAATCTCTGTCCTTCGTTTGGTAAGGTGGAGACTTTATGAATGTCCAAAGATATAAACGATATATAACTGCAATCACAGTCCATGTAGAGAAGAGGGAGATGCCAATCCAATGCTAAATGAAATTTAATTTAAAAATTTCATTTGTTTGGTATTTCTCAAAGTTCATTCATGAAAATTTTACCTTCCCTGACCAGTCCTTTGTGTAAGCAATCTGAGACCAAATTTGAGCAGACAAAATAAAAATACAAAGTACTGCCCTAGTTTCTGCTGCAATTGCCAAATCAGAATGGCTTCTTATATGCATCTAATTAATTCGGATAACTTTATATGAAATATTAAATAGAAACTTACAGCATGCGCACTAACCACCTAAATTTGTTAAAATTTAAAAATTTCTAAAAAAATTACATGTGAACAAACAAAGAATAATCCCATTAGGCGGCCTTTAAATTAATATTTCAATAAATATTTTTAATACTAAGATACAGACCGCATAATTCATGACTGGCATCCAAAGTTAGACTAACCTTAATTTAAATCATGAAAAAGAGAAGTGAATTTTACTTTAATTGAAATCTTGAGAAACCTGTCTGTTTAAGAGCCATTGTGGTGAGGAAATCCACGCAAGTCCTATTGAAACAGCAGCAATTGTGTCTAGTTGGTAAAGTGCACCATGAATGCCATGAATAACTGTCCTTTCTGAGCATTCAAACGGTTTTAATTGATCACTTTCTGCAAGGATATTTAGAATTTATTTGAAGAATGTCAAAATAAACTACCTACTGGCCAACCAGAAACTAGCAATAATATAATGTAGAGTAAGGCACACCCAAGACTGAGCGAAATTAAAGTTCGAATCAGCACTGAAATATACTATAATGAGGAATCCTTTGGAATTCCAAGTGAACCTGGATGAACAAGGTTTGGATGTACAGATAGTGTGTGGAGAAAAATGAAGGAGCATAACACACCAGAGAGAAGGCGCATTACGATACATGCTGATCTAATTAAAGATGTAGAATGAGTTGAACCTGAACTTCGGCTGAAGAACGTTGAAGCTAAGAGGTGACCACCAACGCACCTTAATAAATGCCAGTGAACTCCATCGGTGGAACGTTGCTATAGATTTATATGTTAATAAAATAAGTTAGAATTCATTAATAACCTACCAAAACAAAGTCACCGACAAATTTTGGAAAAAGATAAAGTAAAAGACCAAGAAGCAAACATATAATTGTATCAAAAAATAATAATTTATGGCATAGTTTCGCGAAGAAAATTTTAATCATTTATTAATACAAAACTAAAAATTGAATTAAAAACAAAAGTTAATTCGTTACACGCATACGCTAACTCATCAAAATCCTGCGCGAGATCCAGGCCTGCACTAGCCTCTAACAGCATTTAATAAAAAAAATTTAAAAAGAAAGCAAATTGAGTACCAAAATTATATTATTAAACCCCGATAAATTTTATTTTGACTTATTTTAGAAATTTTTATTTTTTATTTCAGTGTTTATATATTCGACTCTTTTTCTATTTTAGTTTTTCATTTCAAAAGAATTTATTATGACTTCTGATAATACTGCTTGGGTAACTTTGGTCACTAATGACGGATATGCTGTTGGGGCTCTTGTATTAGCACATTCACTGCGCAACGTTGGAACTACTCATAAATTGCATGTCCTTTACACTTCTGGAGTATCTTTCAATTTGAGGTATTTTTTATTTTTCTTTTGAAAATTTACTTGGTTTTGACGCCAGAACTTTTCGATACAAAGTACTTAAAATTGCTTAAAAATTGATATTTTCAGAAATAAATTGGAGGAAGTCTTCGACAATTCTACTGAGGTAACTCTAATTCTAAACTCGTCATAATAACCCCTCCTTTATTATCTAACCAGGTTAACGTGTTGGACAGCGGTGATGAAGCTAATCTTGCTTTGATTGGACGTCCTGATCTTGGAGTTACATTTACTAAGTTGCACTGCTGGCGATTGACTCAATATAATAAATGTGTATTTCTTGACGCTGACACTTTTGTTATTTTATATTATGATTTAAAGACTAAATTTGTTTTTAGGTAGTTAAAAACTGCGATGAGCTTTTTGAACGACCTGAGTTTTCTGCCGCTCCAGATATTGGATGGCCAGACATTTTTAACACTGGTATCATTTTTTCCCAACTATCCTCATAATTTTATTTTGAAATTTAGCTGTAGATTTATTATATTTTCAGGTGTTTTTGTTTATGTACCATCTTTGGAAACTTATAATAATCTTCTACAATTTGCTGTAACTCACGGTTCGTTTGATGGCGGTGATCAAGGACTTTTGAATGCCTACTTTAGGTTTATATTTGTTTATTAGACAAAATCATTTCTTTATTTCAGTGGATGGCGTGAGTGGGATGCTTCTCATCGTCTTCCATTTACATACAATGTTACCACTAGTGCGATTTTTGCTTATGCTGCAGCTGTAAAACGGTTATTTATCTATGGCCTAATCTGAATTACTTTTTCTTTTAGCTTTGCGCCCCAAGTAAAGATCGTTCATTTCTTGGGCAAACAAAAACCATGGCTTGTGCATTATGAGAGCGGGGAAGGACTGACTTATCTCTCGGATTACCATCGAGTGGGTCTTACATATATTTGTCTAATTTCTTTTAAAAATTTTAGGAGTGGCGTGATCTTTATTCTAGAATGGTGAAAGGTCATCTGCCGGACACTTCAGAGGTTTCCCAAATTAAGCCTGACTTTCCCCATTCCATTTCTGATGTTATGACATTTAGTTCTCGTTTGCCTGTGAGTTTTGCTGTTTTGAGCTTAAAATTAACACGGTTTAATAGCATTACTTATTGTGGTATTCAGAATTTCTTTTTTTATGCTTCATTTTTTCTAACATGATTGTTGTTCCTCTTTATTAAATTACAAAAAATTTAAGAGTCCTTTGGGTTTTATCTGTGCTTTATTATAATTTTGATGTGATTTTATTTCATGGATTTATTCTAATATTGTTTTTAAGGAATTGACTGCAACTGTTCGCAAAGAGACAAGTCGATTAGAGGCATGGGAGGCGGGAACTCCTGATTATCTTGGTTTGGTTTTTTTCTTTTGATTTTTGATTTACTTCATACTTTAAGGAGCTGACTCGTTCGACAACATTAAGAAAGCAATGGAAGAGTCCTTGCTCAAGCAGTGAGGCGATTTTAATATCCAATTGCTGCCTAGTCATACTAAATACAAAGGTTTTAATTGATCGAATATGCGATCTCTCATGACCAGACTTTTTGATTTCTAATTTGCTCAAATTGTATTAATATAAGCATATTCTAAAATCTAATTTCTTGAGACTTTGACAATAAGAATTTTTTAATTATATAAATTTTCATTTTGCAAATAAAACTTTGATTTGTCTTATTGTTAGATTTTTTGTCATTACATGTCTTTGGCTTGAGGAGTGTCCTTTATATTTATTGATATTTTTCATTAATTATGAATTTTTTAGTTCTAATGAAATTTTAACTAATTTGTTCTTAACAACATTTTATGATAAAAAACAGCCAAGAGGATCGAAAGTCAGCTGCACGAAAACAAGTCATTCCTCTTCAAAATGCGGAAAAGATTGAAGCCTTGCTCGGTACACTTCAAGGATATTCACGAAAACTTGCCTCTGGTCCGAATGAGAAGGCGGCAAGAGGAATCTTGCGGATAAGGTTTTTTAGTTTCACGTTTTGTGTTTATTTTGTTTTAGTTTTGAACTTTCTCGAGAATATGCTGAAAAATTACTTTCTGACTTTGAGTCTTGCTTTCGAATTAATCTTGAATATCAACTATGGAAGAATTGTTTTTATTCTCCGATAGAGGTGTTGCGAAAACGAAGTGAGGATGGTGGACCACATGCAGGATTATTTAAAGGATTTTTGAATGAACTAATTGAACTTGTATTTTTCCATTTTTTTATTATTTTACATAATTATAACTTAGGCAATTACCTTTTATGAAGGTTTATTGAAGGATTATGAAGTGAAATTCTCAGTTGATTTTTCGAAATTTTATCAGCCTTATGCAAGTTCTCTTTGCTTGGATAAATGTGATGAATGTGTTGTTATTGATGGCGAGTTACCTGTTGTTGATTCGGTTTTTTTACTAAAATTTTTTTTTAATTTTCAACTTTAAATTTCCTTAGATGTTTTTACGTTCCGCTCAACGGCTTATTATCTGTTTTGGTGATCTATATCGTTATAAAGCTCTAAGCACACACAAAGAAGCAAGAACTTATTCATCTGCAAAGAGGTCGTTTTTTAAATCAATGCATCAGATAAAAATATTTTTAGTTTGTATTGGCAAGCTCATCTTCTAGAGCCTCTAAATGGTCATCCTTTTAATCAGTTAGCAGTTGTTGCTTGTTATGAGGTTATTTTATCTTTCTAAAAATATTTAAAATACTATTTAAGAAAAAATGGATTGACGTCCTTTTCTATTATATTCGAGCGCTTTCTGTACTTCTACCTTTTAAATCCGCAAGAGAATCATTGGAGTTGGCACTTAACAGTTTAAGACAACCCGTGAGTTTTTACAAGCCTCATTTTAGAAAGTATTATTTTGGCATATTCAGGCTAATGCATATGAAAAATGGGTTTTCGAGCTAATTGAGAATGAGAATAGAAACATTCAAGCTGCGACAAACAACTACGAATCAGGGCCGTATTCAGATATTTTAAACAAGGAAAATAAATTCAATAATGTTTGTCGGGAAATATGGTTTCATCCCTCCAATGAATTTTTGGTTGAGGAATCACTCAAAAAGCATCAACCTATTAGGTCAACAATTGAGGGTACGTTGACGCAACTATTTGTTGGTGAAAATGGAAACAATGTAGTATAATAAAATTAATTCTAAATTTTTTTTTCATTTTCAGATTCAAAAGAAGGCAATCTGTCATTTGCTTCATTGTGCTGGTGTTTTAATCTCCACAATTGGTTTAGACCAATTCAAGCAGAGTTATGAGTTAATTCTTAGCGAGTTGTTAGCACTTGTAGATAATGATGATACTGTTCTTACTCCAGCCTACTTACTCAAGATAATAGTTTTGTATACGTTTCCAATTCATTCACCAAGACCAGGTTTTTAAAATTTATCTTTTTTACTTTTTAATATGCGAGTTTTAGACGCTTCTCAAGTATTGTTCGTAAATCAAAGATGTGCTGCTTTTGAACTTGTCTCTAGCTCTCTAAAGTTTTTACTTGAAATTTTTTACAAAGGTTGTTTATTTTCTAATTTAAAATATGTACAAATTTGATTTAAAGATATAGACAAAGTTGGATTATTTATTCTGACTGGCCAGCTCAGCGAAAAGGTTTTTCTTTATTGTTATGTAAAAAGTATTTTCTATTTTAAGTTTTCTTGTATAATTCCTTCGATTTGTTTTTTGGTATTTTGGCTTTATTGCATTGATAAATGTTTGATACTCGATGATGTTTTAAAACACTATCGAATATTTGAGTTATTAGTTTTAATTGGAAATCGTTTGAATTTGTTGCGTCAAAGGCGATCATTATGCGATTTGAGAATGTTTAGCGAAGTAAAGGATCCGAATAAAGGTTCTATAAATTTATTCCCTAAAGTATGATTTTTACTTTATTATAGATTTCTTGCGGATTCAATTACCAGAGTTCATGTTACTCACCCCATATTTTGACATATTGTCTAAATCTTCTGTGCAATTTTTTATTGATGTAAATTCATTAGATGTGGAAATAACAGATAAGGATCATGTATTCAAATTCACATAATCTGTACTGACGTATTTTTCTTTTAGAAATGGATAGCTGTTCAGGCAAGATTCGCGCTTATTTTACGCCTTTGTGAGTATTTGTCGGAAGGTGAATATTTTCCAATAAAATTTGATGTTAGAAATATTACTGATGGGCCTTTTCGACTACTTCCTCGCCATAAAGGTTTAATCTTTTTATCCTTCAATACTTAAAATGCTTAAAAATGAGGGGTTCGCTTAAAGGACTTCTTTGTTTTGAGATAGCTTGAGTGAGCTATTTATCGATCTTAAATAGATCCATTCTTTTACAGTTGAGGGAAATCAAAAACTACTTACTAATGAGATGTTAGATGAAAAGTTGGTAGGAACTAATAGTGAAAGCGGAAGTAATGATTTAAACGATGGGTCCAATAAAATTACCTCAAACGAAGATTCTTCATTGAGCACATCAGACGAATATGAATTAAAAACTGTATAATGTTAAATTAAATTTATATAAATAAAATTTATATATTGATTTTATTGCCAAGATAAAGTGCCTTATTTTGTTATTTTAAGCAATTATTATCTGAAGAAATTTCTCCTATACATCATCATGTGGTTGAGGTTCGCCCCAGATATCTAGGTGCTTTTAAGAATTTACGATATACATTTAAAAAATTTAGTCTGTGATACAAATACATTGATTGACTACCCCGATGAAATAAAATTTTTTGTGAGCCTTAAGGTCAGTAATGAGTTAAACATTGATATCAGACTTGCGATTTTTAAAAATACGAATAAAATTCCATTTTAAGATATCTGTTTTTCTTGTACCTACAATTGGTTAATTTTGAAAATTAATTTTTATCAAATATTTAATTTAGTAATTGACGAACTCAGCAGCCTTGTTAAAGGGATACCTATCAGCAAACCTACCTTACTTCCTCGAGAGATTCTCAACCCTGAAGGCTCTCATTCAGCTTTTGTTATGAGTCAAGCTAGCAAGGCAGTAGATTGGCTTCGTGAAGCTGCTGAAAACAAGGTATTTTGCATAAAAAATCAGTTTGACTAATCATGTGTTTCCATGTTGAAAATGTATCTACTCTTACCATCAATGGTAACATCATACAGAAGCCTAGCTTTGTAACGGAGGGTGGTGAATATAATGTTGCGGTATGATATCCTAAAGTTTTAAATGAATGTAAAAATTTAGCGAAGGACAAACGATGATAAAATACTATCAGCATGTATCAATTTATGTAGACGTTTTTCGAAAACTACTAGAATGAGAACAGGAGAAGAAAAAGTATTACAAAGGACAGTCGTTCTTCTGACCGAGGTAAGTCAACATCGATTATATGGTATTCCGGATTTAAGCCAGATGATCTATGCAATTTAATATTTAAGGATCGTGGTCTTAGTGCTAAGGCATTGTCACAGCAAGTTCCTGTCCGAACATTTCCAAATTTTTTGAAATGGGCTTGTCCAGATGCTGAGAAGTCTGTGAAAAATATTTGACAAATTTTATTGACATAATTTTTATATTTTTTAAAACAGCTAAATTTTTTAAGTTATAGTAAATTTTAATACTAATCTTCAGTACTTTCAATCAATAGCGATCATTTACTAAGGATTATTATATATACCTCCATGTTTGAGCTATCCAAAATCCCGGCTAAGAAAAACAAATGACCTATAGGCAGATTGACCGGATTCACGGGGCTATTTTGCTATTAAAAAATAAAACATGTGACGCCAAATGTTGGCTTACAAATAAGAGTATAGTCCAAGCTATACATATGCTTATGTTAAATTAATATGGTTAATTCGATCTGTTCTTGTGCTTAACTTCATTGAAGTTTTGTTTATAACATATGGATGCAAATGCATGGAGTCTAGTTGAAGGAGATGAAAATGAGGCCGAATCAGCCGAAGAGGAAAAACGAGTGGAAAAAGCATTGATAGCTGCGTTTGAGGCTGAACAACGTAAAAGCGTCTCAGTAGCTGCAGCTGTAGCTGCAAGTCGTTCTACTTCTTGTGAGGTTACTGTTGCCATCTAAAAAATTAGAATGTTTTCGTTCTTTAGGGATATTTTGATGACACTCATTCAGCTCCTTGTGAGCGCGATGAGGCTTCATCATTGGAGCTTGGAATGCGTCAACGGAACAAAGAACAGCTTAATCGTGCATTTAGAAGCAGGTAATATGCTTGAACCTTGCGTTGACAAGTATTCTAGAAAAATTGTTAATGCGTAATAATTTAAGGTCTCCAGCAGTCGATTCACTAGTTCGATTCGGCCATATGTTGATGGATCGTGTGAAACGTCGTAAAAGTCACCACCATATTTTCCCACAACTTTCTAAAGCCGATGAACTAGAATCTATTCCTCTGGAATTAGTATGCAAGAAACCTTCACAATTCTACAAAGAAGAACCAGCTTCAAACCTAAATGGTGCTGAAATAAAAGAGATGCCACAAGGGAGAGTAATCAGCGAAAATTTGCTAGATAGAGGTGGCTTTGGAAGGTCTATCAAAGAACGATGGTAAACCGCTGTGAACTTAATATTTTTATTTTAAATAATAGTGCGCATCTCTTCCGACCTGTTGAATCTCACTTGGAAGACGCCCTTTCTGGTGCAGATGTACCGTTGCGCGTGCATGTTTATGATCCTTATTGTCCTGTTCACGGATCACGACGACGACTACGTCACGGAGTTGGAAAAACTGCAGCTGGCCAACGTCTCGTTGATATTCATACAATCTTTGCATCTGTAGAAACAGGAGAAGGTGACGAGGACGAACATAATCAAATAAGTCAGTATTTGCAAAGGTAAAGCTTAAAACTTCAGCCATTTTTATTTAATTATTTATTAGCCAGGCAATTTTGGCAAAGAAATTTCGAAAAGAGCGCCGTGCATTGAAGAAATTGCTGGAAGGTCCTAAATTGAAGGAGATGAAATTACAGTCGGTATTTTATTTTTATCTTGAGATGGAGTTTGGAAATTACTACGATTTTAGTATTTTAGGATTTGAGCAAATTGAGCCTAATCCTCAGTTGTTTGATTAAAATTAATCAACTTTTTTTTTAATTCTAGCATTCTCACTGATCTGTGTATAATTTCACTTGCATTTCTCTTTTTATTCACTGGATTTAACGGTTTACAAACGCTACAAACCTCCATAAACGGCTCCTTGGGTGCAGACGCGTTGTGGTACGGTTTAAACTTTCTTTAATAAATTATTTTGATATCAGTGTTCTCTACGCGAGTCTTGCTATATCCTCACTTTTTGCACCATCATATTCGGTATGTACATTCTATACATATCCGTTCTAATATTATGATTTTTATACCAATAGCTCAATCGAATTGGTTGCAAACGAACTTTAGTTGTCCTTCCATAAGTAATCTAAAATCTAAAAATTCAGGTCATTGCTATCGGCCTTCATTCACTCTACTTTTGTGCTAATTTCATTCCAAAGTTGATAAAATATATTTTGATCGTAAAGAGAACATTATTTTTTAGATACTATTCTTTGATTCCTGCCTCAATTATTGTCGGGATAGCCTCCAGTTGTTTGTGGGCAGCCAAATGCGCGTACATAACAGAAAGTGCGCTCAAATATGCAAAATTGAATGTAGAGTCATCAAGCACAGTCATACCTAGGTAAAAGCTTAATTCCATAAGATATCATATCAGAATCCAAATTTTAGATTCTTCGGGTTTTTCTTTATGTTCTACCACGTCGGACAAGTGCTTGGTAATTTGCTTTCCTCTTTGATTTTGGGTGGTGGAGCGTTATGGCAACTTGTACCAGATGACCATGTTGATTATACGTTTGTGAAGAAATTTAAAAAATTATTTTTACATTATTAATAGATGCGGCCACAATTTTGCTCTGTTGAATTTATCGTCAAGAGCTCAGCAAAATTTAAGCGCACCATCGAGATTAGCATTTATTTCTGTTGTTGGAGTCTATCTTCTGTGTGCATTGCTTGCTTTGATTACAGTTAAATGGTTTCTAAATCCACTACAAAAGCAAACAACACTTACAAATATAACAGTAAAGAATGCCAACACCCAGCCACAATCTACAGATGTAAATACGATCAACCAAGTTAATACTACCAAAAGTTGCGCGGAAGAACACCTGTTGCAGAATAATAATACTAACAATACAACTTCCGCCAACAAAAAGGATGAAATTAATCAAAACGATTTCTCTGTGGATGTTTTTCGCCTAAGTTTGCGTAATTGGAGTCGACCAAAGCCTTTACTTCTTATTCCTCTTACTATCTTCAATGGAATTGAGCAGGCTTTTGTGGTATTTTAAAAGACTTTAAATTACAAAAATTATTTTAGGTTGGACTCTATACAAAAGCATTTGCGGGATGTGCTCTTGGAATAAATGAAATTGTAAGAATATTTTGATCATTTTATTTTAGTTTGAGGTATATTCTCGTTCATTCTTTAGGGATTTGTGATGGTATGGTTTGGCTTAATTGCAGCTTGCAGCAGTCTTGTTTTTGGCCCGTTAATAAAACTTTTTGGACGGATGCCGCTTTTAATGTTTGGAGCGGTCATTAATTTGTTAATGGTTTGGAAATATTAATTAACTAGTTTAAATACAATCTTCATGTAGTTATTTGTTCTTATGATTTGGGCGGTTAATCCTGGCGATCGAGGTTTTTGTCTTAATTTTTTATTCTTCATTTTATATGTAGTTCTTTTCAATGCAGTTGCGGGTGTGTGGGGAATGTAAGTAGGGAAGATTAAATACATTTTTGGCACTAAATTTTCAGGGCTGATGGTGTCTGGAACACTCAGCTAAACGGTTTTTGGCTAGCAATTCTAGGACCTGGCCGCGATCAACTTGAAATTGCTTTTGCCAATTATCGCTTTTGGGTATCGTTTGGACTTGCTCTTGGATTTTTGCTGATTCGTCTGACAACCATTGATAATTTCCTGCTTATTGCTTTCTTTTTCTTGTTTGTTGGTATTCTTGGTTATTTTTTGGTAGAGCTTTTTGATATAATTATGGTAGATAAGATTTATGTTAAAATTATGTATTTGTTTTATTTTACAGGTTCGTCTGAGGACGGTCAAGTAGTTTTTTTAATCGGAAAATTCGGATGAGTTTAAATTTAGTAACAATTAAGAAAATTTTGGAAAATTTCTAATGATATTTCGTGAAAATTTTGATAAAAAACATTTACAAGAAAGTTTTTAAATCAAATAAAAACAAGTTTTTCGAGATGAGAATCTTTATATCCTAAGAAAAGTAAACAAACTAACAAATATCACCGGGCTTGCAAGTCCAGTGTAATGGTTACAAACAAATTAGAATATTCTTGGTTATTTTTTGGTTGAGCTTTTTGATATCTTTGGTAATTCTTTTAATAAACCACAAGAATTTTTACCCTTTTCATTTCTCCTTGGTAATGCGTTCACTTCTTAACGGCGGCAAGATTTTTGGAAGTAAAAAAATGGCAAAAATAGAAAAAATGTGTATACAAAAATATAGCCTTCTAAAAAGATGAAATTTATATTGTGTATTAGAAATCAGAAACCTGTATAGTATCATTCCTGGCGAGAGATTCATTGTTACAAATGGAAAAGTGGCGTACATTAGTGCGAATTTAGTTGCAAAAAATGTTGTAAAGTCGTATAAACGGGATTTCCACAAGTTCGTTTTGAAATGATGTCGAACACATCGGCGAACCTGTTAGGAAAGTTAACTAACCTGTTAGGAAAGTTTAAAAATGATTTTATTTTACAGTTCGAGCGCCCAAAGTAATCAGTGCACCAGTTACAAAAGTAAGATAATATCCCAGGAAAAATCCGTGCCATATAGCAGAGAGTAGATAAACTGATGCTGTTCGGTATTTTGGTACTCTTTCATAGGCAACTCTGAATTGAATTCATTTTTTAGCGAACATTAAAACATGTCAACCTCCTAAGCCATTGCATAGTCGTTATGTTCCAACCATCTAGAGTATCTTTGAAGCTGAGTGCAGTCTATTTAGAGAAAATGTTAAGAATCTTACTATCGATATTAAATGTATACCTCAACTTTCCATGCATCGACATTTGTAATTTTATCCCATTTTGGTTCATTTTCGGCGAAACCATTGAAGCCAAAACCACTCAAGTTACATATAGCATCAGCTAAAAATGACAACAAATATTAACAATTGAATCAACACCAAAAAGCTTACAAAAAATCCAAACGTAATAATATTGAGCTCTTTGCATGAAAATGACAAACCAAAACAGCCCTAACCATTGATAGAACGGCATAGTAAAAGCCTCAGGCGAAATTATTTGTTCGGGCTCAGAAAAATCAGCGTAACGATAAATCAAGACACCAAAACAAAAAGCCGTCAACAGTTTTTTAAATGCTGCCCAAAATGGACTGGGAACGGCCTTAAAGAATTCAATCTTAAAAACAGAAAAATTTTGTTATACCTTTCCATATAGTTCTCCAGTGCCATTTATGTAATCAATATAATCCGTGTAAATGCTAAGTGGTCCGGCCAGTATAGTTTGAAATTTAAACAGATAGCTTAGATAAGCAAGGATAGAAGGCACTTCACTGGATTAGAATTATAAAACTAAATTGTAATACCCTAAAATAATTACCTCAAAGATTCTTTTCGCAGGGTATCACTGAGATCTTTTTTTGCATGACCATCATGAAGAGAAAAAGCTAGCAGTGTGACTTTTTGCACCATTACCATCTACAAAAATATAGTTCACCATTTTTAATATAAAAACTACCATTGGGCCCTAAATAATGATAAAAATAAGAAAATGACCAATAGATAGCATACAGTGATATCTAGTTGATAGCTGCCAAGAAAAATCCAGCGGTACCTAAACAATTTAACTCGAAGCTTGAAATTAATCACTGAAATTATTTTCTACTAACCAATGCATGAAGACCAGATACCCCATCGCGTATGTAAACACCAGCAGGCCGACATATTGAACTGGACTAAATAAAAGCAAAAGGTAACTGAAGCTGATGAGGCCGATGATATGTTTAACAGCTCTTAAAATTATTTTTAAAGAAAAATTTAATAAAAGGCGTACCTTCCAAAACAAAAATAACAGAATACAAAGCCAATCAAGGGTGGAATCAAAAGACGTAGCGTATTACTTCCAGCACGAGGTTTAAGATATCTTCGAAAAGCACAAGCGATAGGGATTGATATAAGTTGACAGCACAAGAGATTCAGCTAGATATTTAAAATATCAACATTTAAGAGCTTAAAATACATATTATTTAGAATTAGAAACCTTATCACTGTCGAGACCAATGTATGGGACAAGTGGAGCAAGTAACTTGGAGCCGTCGTAAAATGTATGTACGCCCGGCATCTGTCATAATAAAAGACAACAATAATTTATTCGAATTTTATAAAAATAATGGATCAATGATGACCATTTTCTTGAAGATCAAATAAAGAAGTAAAATTTTATTAATGGATGAACTCATGAAACACGCAAATCATAATTTCCTTCTTCAAAGTATCTATTCAAATGTGAACAAAATTCATCATGCAATGCATTTCCCAAAGTCCTGCATAGTGGCAGAACTATGCCTTGATATTTTACACAATAGATACGATTGTGTAAATCTCCTGGAGCGGTGCAGCGTCTATCAGCAAGTTCACAAACACTAACAAGCAAAGGGCCTGCACAATGACCCATTAAACTAAAAATAATTGTTAGATCCAGAAACATTTATAACTTATTTACCTGAATAGATGTCCCTCCGTCTTTTCAATATCCTGCCAATTGTGTGATGAGCCAAAAATAATAGATATGTGATATTGAAAGACAGGCCGAAACTGATGAAAAACAGGGTGATCAATAGTTCTAGAAGGAACGAAGCTTGACTCAATAAACTAAATTTTAAGTGAAAAATAAGCTGCAAAAAACCTTTGTTACCTTGACCCTCTCGAGCGAGAATCTTTCAACATCTATAAAATAACCACTCAATTCAAACGTGATTGTTTGTGAATTCTTGCCATTTATGAATCCTCTTTGCGTATTTTTATATCTATTTATTAATGAATTGGTTATTTATTCTTAAAAATACCCGCTTGAAGAATATTCTGGAAATTTGTAGGAGTCAAATCGTTCGACACAAGTAGCCACCAAGCCAAATTCCGAAGCCAATTCCAGTGGCTGCCAGCTGTCCTAAACTTTAAAGTAAAAAATAATAAACAAAAAAACCTTATTATGTTTTGGCGGCACATTAGTGTAAATTAGATCAGTAGCTTCTATTCCAGATTGACCTGGGGCAAGCGTAACATGAAAGCGACTAGAACGCGGCTCTGAGGCCATCAAATTTCTCGCCACAGATTCAAAAATCTTTTCAAAGAAATTTATAAAATTAAAAAAAATTTTCTAAAAAATTAAAAACCTTCCGAAGAAGTAGACGACATTTCCTCAAATTTGTTTTCCCGCCGTAATGTGGAAAATTGAATATTATATCAGTGAATTCCGTTTTCGTGGATACCTTTTCAAAGTCTAATGCGTCAACTTTGAAAACAACTTTTGTATTTTTGCATTCATTTTTAATTTTATCAAGTACATCAGCATCAAAGTCAGCATATTTTTTCCTCCATTCACTTTCTTCTTCATAAACGGTCGCTATTATGTATTTATCAGGAAAGATACGCGAAAGCGAGAGTGAAAACGTAAGATTTCCATCACCAAGGATCAATATATTGGAACCAAGTGTTTTCAGGAAGTGCATGCTTCTGTGATAAAATTTAATAGGTATAAATTGGGCTGGGGCAAATCGGTAACGGCAAATTGGCCCGCGGCAGAATGGGCTGTACCACTTTTGTCTTTTTTCTTTTAGTCGTTTTTGCTTGCTAATTTTTTGTTTTATTGTTAGTTTAATTTTAATTAATCTTACAGATGAGTTTTAATCCAAAATCAAAGGATAAAGCCGGTGAATTGAGTACTTATCGTGATATGCGGTTTCAGGTATAAATTCTAACATTCGTTTTTTAAATTGTCTAACTTTAGGGATCTTTGACTGATCAGGAAAGACTGTTATCTCAGTCCACGACTTTGTATATTGGAAATCTTTCTTATTTTACATCAGAGGAACAAGTATGGGAATTGTTTCGTCGTACTGGTGATATTCGCCGTGTTATTATGGGACTTGATCGCTTCCAGAAAACTCCTTGTGGTTTCTGTTTTGTTGAGTATGTTTTCAATTAATGCTCGTTAATAATGTAACCGCCCAATTTTATTTCAATTTTAAATATAGTTTTGAACGTCATTTACATATTTTCAGATATTATACACGTGCCGATGCTGAAGATGCTCTGCGTTATGTCAATGGTACAAGGTTGGATGATCGTGTGATTCGTTGCGATTGGGATGCTGGTTTCAAAGAAGGACGGCAGTATGGACGTGGAAAGCATGGAGGACAAGTAATAATTTTTGATTTATTTTTTACATGACTATTCAGGTCAGAGACGAGTACAGACAAAACTTTGATGCTGGTAGGGGTGGCTGGAACAAAACTATACAGGTTGCTATTTTTTATTTCAATCATCTACCAGTTTTTGTTTTATTATAGAAGCGTTCTGAACATATGAATCAGAGAGTTGGTGTTTAATTTTTTGAACTTTATTTCAGCTTATTGTTTTTGTTTGTAAAGGCTCAATAAATTTTTTTATTTTTAAAGGGATTATTTGGATTTTTTTGCTTATTTGGATTTTTTCCATGTAGTTATCTTATTCTTTAACTTTATTTAAGTACAAGCTTATAGCCAAAAAATTCAATGTTACTGAATTTATTTTGTTTCTTAACTACTTTCAAGTTGCTTTATGCTGTAGGAGTTGACATCGACTTAACGTTTATTTTATTTTTATAAATATTTTATTTATGTTTTAGTGTCGATCGGAGTGGGTGGGTCGATCCTTCTGATCCTCTGTCTAACTCGCATTATGGCAATACAGGTGTTGGCAATATTGGATATGATTGTGGCGAGAAATTTAATATTCTATTGAAGGTTTTTTATATAATTTCGGGAAGGCAGCTTCTTGTTTAGTTAGATTTAACTTGTTAGGTAGATTGTTTATTACTTTTTGGACATTAAATCTACACTTATGAAGAATGTTTCAGGAAAATTCTGAAATTCGCGAACGTCTAAATATTATCCACACGGCTCGTGAGAATTCAGTTGATGTTCTGATGAAACATGTTTTGAGGAATTTTTTGAGCAAGCTTAACATAGACGTGGATGATACAAATCAGCCAGTTTTTAAGAAAGCTCAGGTATTTAAATTGCCTCTTTCTTTTTTATATCTTAAATTCAGGTTGCTCTTTCAGTTGAGGATTTATCTGTGCTCAAGCGTTATTTACAAAGCGAGAAAACTGTTGAAGAGTTTGGATTAAGAGAAGATTTGCGTTTTGCTTTGGAAAATTTTCTTGTAGAGGTTTTTATATTTTAAGTTGAACTTTAATTTAGCTATAATAGGCGGATGTTCGATCACAAAACTCAATTCTTGCTTTACTCCATTCAATTTTGCCTTATCTAATGTTACTCAATTTGTTATTAGTTCTTCCTGCTTCTATAATTTTAATCCGCTGGGTTTGCAGTTTTCGTCGACTCTGTTTTGTTGTGTTTGTTAGTGCATTTGGAATTTCATATTATTTTGCATATATTCGAAAATATCAAGTTAGTTTATTGTTTAAAAAGATAAATGTGCCAAACATTTGCCCCTTAAAATTTTGATGTTTATCACCTTACAATATACATTTTAAGGAAGTTTTAGCACAACGATTTGAACGTGCAAACTGGGATAGTTCTAAACATTCTTGTACACCTCGAGGTTTAATGAGTGAGGCGTTTGATGTTCTTTTGAGTTATGTAGGTTTCTACAATTTTTCGAGAAAGAATTGTTTTTAAGGTTACAATCAAAGATAAAAGTGACTGTTTAAAGTCATATGAGGTAATTTGGGCTTATTTGCAATAATAAATTTTTTTATCTAAAAGGACATGTTGATTGAGCCAATTCTTCTCGTTGATCCACTTCAGGTGCTCGCCGAGGTGCTTTCAAACTTTGTTCTATCTCCATTTTCGATTGCTGGACTACATCTTAACCGATTTTTCATAAGATTCTTTGAAAATACACCAATCCCATTGGCACTTCTAATGGCAGTTCTTCTGTGTTTAATGCCCGTATTAATTGTGTGGATCGTTCTTCGTATTCGAGAGCATTTGGTTATTTTATTAAAAAATATTTAAAGTAGTGTATTTAAATTTAAGGCCAATGAAAGACGCGAAGACGAACGAAAAGGACGACTGAAAATGATTGATCACTCATCAACTCAGCCTTGTTTGACTACATTACCTGCTGATAATGTAACCGAGGAAAGGGAACGAAGATTAAGGCGGAGAGCTATTGGACATGGTATTTACTATCTTTTTATTTTTTAGAAAAAAATATTTTAGATCGATCATCATCCGTTTCTTCTTTACGAGAAATCCGAGAGCGGATGAGGAGGAGGGAAATTGAACAATAATAAGCATGGAAAAACACAGATTTGTATATTTACTTTTTTAATTTTTTATTGATTCTCATTAAATGTCCATTCTTTAAAAACTTTATGTTAGTTAAAGTGACGCAAAACAAATTTAAAAGTTAAATTTGGTACAAATTAATTCGAAAAACAAACAAGAGTTATCTTTTAAATAGTAAGAGGACGAATTTAAGATGACTCATTTAAATTTATGTTTACTGGATTTCTATGTTCATCAAAAAAATTTTTGTGCTTTTATCACTTCAACTAGTAAGCGTCTGTCTTACATTAATTTATGTAGGAAAAAATATTTTTAAGGTTTACAATGGGGCGTTGGCGGATAATAAGGATCAGCCAGCAGTAACAAGCGACAAACAGGCAACTGAATCATCTGCTGCCAGCAATGTTTTGTGTCTTATTGTTTTCTGTCCTACCGGAGATGGATATAATAACCCTGGCTATGGTGGCTATAGTTACAGTTATTCAAACCCTGGTTATGGTTACGGCTATTCGAATCCCGGTTATGGTGGTTATGGTTACAGCTATTCAAATCCTGGTTATGGTGGTTATGGATATTCTAATGCCTACTACCCTAGCAATTATGGCTATTCATCGTATGGTTCGAACAGCTATTACTGCTATTATAGTCCATCTTATTGCTATGGTGGTTATGGGTCAGGTTACTATGGGAAATGATTTAATGAAGTTATCAATAAACACTTTTTGATTTTAGATTTTTTTAGAATAAACATAAATCATGAACATTTTAATGGAAAACCAACAAAATTAAATATTTTCATCATTCAAATTTTTCTTATAAATACCAATTTTGCGTTCAAGTTGTCGAGGCGTATCCTGCCAAATGTTCAAAGAATCGCGAGCCATTGCCTAAATAGAATTAAAATTATTCCAAAAATTCAACCTACTTTAAAAATTAAAAAATACCTCGTAATTCTCCCCGTGTTTGGATAACAGCTTTTTGCAAACGTCAGTATCGTTCGGATGTAGAGTAGCTTTTTGCCTTTGTCGTTTTTTCTGTTTGTCAGATTCGGTTGTCTCATCAATTGCAATTTGTTCAAGCTCAAGCAGTACATTCGTTGTGCTACCTAGATTTTAAAGTTTAATTTTATTGAATTTTTAAAATGAAAATAATACATTTAGTCGACTTTTTTAGACGGCCTGTCTTCAAACGCTTTTCGTCGCCATCAATTTCAATTGCCTAAATTTTGATGATATAAAAAATAAAATAATAACCTCATTAGGATCATAAGCGAGCCCCATAGAAGCCAAATTCTGACGGGTTGTCATTTGCTTTTGCCATGCATTTTCAATTGGCTGACTAAATTAATAAAAGTTAAAGTAGGTATGTTTAACTAACCATCCTTTAAATTTACGTAGCTTCTTTAATTTTTTATTCTGCCTCTTCGCTGAAGAAATGTTGTAACGATAGCGTACAGACTTTTTGCGACCGTGCTTTACAGAACGCATTTTTTACAAGATCTAAAAGTTATTAAAAATTAAATGTTATAGATTTTAAATAATGACGATTCCTGTTGAATTTATAGAATTCCTACTCTAGTGATCTTTTTAAAGAACTTTATCTCTTTTTTAGCAAAGCGAAATGTACCAAATAGAGAGGGAAGATATTTGAGGTAGTGTGCTAAAAAGAGAGATTTTTCTAACGTTAGAGAAAAATATTAGTACAATAACTCTGGCTGTTTGAGTGCTCAATAATGAGAGCACGATAACTACTGTAACCAAACCAGAATTGTATTTTTTAAAATCGAAGTGTTTTTATTTTCGAAAATTATTAATCAATAAAATCGATACTTCCGTGATCGACAACCGGTGATAATTGATGAATTCAAATTACACCGAAAGATTGATTTTACGAAAGGCTCAGATTCATGTTATCGAGACTAGTGATCTTTTTAAAGAACTATCTCTTTTTTTAGCAAAGCGAAATGACCGAACTGAGAGGGAAAATATTTAAGGTAGTGCGCTAAAAAGAGAGATTCGATTTTGTTGATAATATAATAATCTTTGATCATAAAAGACTATTCGACTTTTAATAATTCATCATTCAGATTCACATACAGTATTTATTGCGCTCTCAGTATTGAGCACTTAAACGGCCAGAGTTATTGTACTAATATTTTTCTCTAACGTTGATAAATCTCTCTTTTTAGCACACTACCTCGAATATTTTCACTCTCTATTTTCACTTTATTTAAAAAAGAGATATTGTTCTTTAAAAAGAACACTAGAGTCTCACTGGGCATATCCATAAAGTTCCTCTTTTTTTCGGTTGTTTGTATAATTCATTTTCATATTTTAATGTTTAATTACTAATTTTATTAGAATGCGCATTAAAAAGATTGAAATTGAAGGCTTTAAATCGTATTCTCAGCTGGAAGTTGTAAACAAACTAGATCCACAGTTTAATGCAATAACTGGTTTGAATGGCTCTGGTAAATCAAACATTTTGGATGCAATCTGTTTTCTGCTTGGTATAACTAATTTGGCAAATGTTCGTGCACATTCACTTTCTGATCTTGTTTACAAACAAGGCCAAGCTGGTATAAATCGTGCAACAGTTACTATTACTTTTGACAATAGCGAGCAGCAACCGGCCGGTTACGGCAAGTGCAAAGAGATTATTGTTCGAAGACAGGTTTTCAATTTTTGTTTGAAAGACAGCACCAATTTTCAGATTATCATTAATGGGAGAAATACATACCAAATAAATGGAACTGTGGCGACTAATCAACGGGTTTCTGATCTTTTTCGAATGGTTGGTATAAATGTGAACAATCCGCATTTTTTAATAATGCAAGGACGAATAACAAAGGTTCTTGGTATGAAGCCATTAGAGGTGAATTTATTTATCTTTTATTAGAGTTTCAATTTTATATTTAGATTCTTTCAATGTTAGAGGAGGCAGCTGGCGTCCGTATGTATGAATGCAAAAAACTAAATGCCATTCGTATTATCGAAAAAAGAGATGCCAAAGTTGATGAAATTAACAAGGTTTTTTGGTTTCAATTATTTATTACTATTGATATTCAGCTTTTTGAAGAAGATATATTGCCTCGTGTAGAACGCTTAAAGAAGGATCGTGAAAATTATTTGGAATATCAGAGAATTGAACGTGAGGTTCAAGTTCTTGAACGAAAGTTTAATGCTTATGATTATCATAATAGTCAGGTATTATAAAATCATTAAAGATTCATTTTTATATTTCTTATTTAGTTGCAAATTAAAGAACTCGAAAACAAGGCCCAAACCTTTCGACAACAAATTACCCAAGTAATAAAGGAACTTGATTTGTTGCAGCAGGAAGCAAAACGTGAAGAAGAAAATTTACGAAAAATGGAATCGGAGAGTGCTAAAAATACTGCTCCTGAATTTCAGAAATTGGAGAAATTACTTAAGGAAAAACAAAGTTCACTTGCAAAAATAGAATCAGAAAAAGATGGAAAAGAAGTTTTATTAAAAAAAAAGATCTTTTAAGTTACATTTTATAGGCTGATCTTAAAGAGCTACAAGTTTCTATTGAACGGAAGATTGAATCGTTAACTGGTGATAGACAACATCTAGAAACAAAGAAAAATTACCTTGCCAATGCTCAATCTGAAAACGGGACTGTGGAACAGCGTGGATTGTCTGCTGAAAAAGCTGTTCAAAGAGCACGTCTGAGACTAGAAGCATTGGCTCGTGGAATGACTACTGATGAGCAGGGAAATGCCGTGACTTTAGAGGCGCAACTTATATGTATTAAATATTTTCTTGTGCTCTAAATCTTGTATATTTAGCTGCTAGAACAAAGCTGTCGGAGCAACAAACAAATTCAAAGAAATTGGAGATGCAACTTTCGCAGTCACGAAAAGTTATCGAGAAAAAACGGCTGGAACTTGCCACTTTTAAACGTCGATCTACTGGCGATCACGAATCAAAAAGAAGGATTGAAACTGAAATTTCTAAAATTGAGGTTTTTTATACTTAATTTAAATTTTAAACTTGAAATCTTTCCTTAGCGAGATCTTCATTCATTGAATTTTGATCCCGAACTGGAGAAAAATTTCGAAGCTGAGCGAAAGCTCCTATCTCGAGAACATGCTGAAATTACTCGTGAACTTGATAATTTTGAAGCACGGTAAAATTTTCTTTTCTCTAGTAATTAAAATTTTGATTTCTTAGTTATTACAATTTACAATTCAATTATAAAGACCCCTATGCTGGTTTTGATCGCAGGGAGGTTAGAGGAGTTGTTGCAAAATTGTTTAAATTAAAAGATCCTAAATTTGCAACAGCACTAGAAGTTGTTGCTGGAGGGCGGGTTTGTTTTATTAAAATTTCTTAATTTAATTTTCTAATAAATTTCGTTAGCTTTACAACATTGTGGTTAACAAAGCTGAAGTTGCCAAAGTTCTTATTGATAAGAAATGTATTCAAAATCGCGTTACAATGCTTCCTATGGATAAAATTGAAGTACGTGGAGTTGTGAGTAAACGTCAGATTCAAGAAGCTAAACTTATGGTTGGTGATGAAAATGTTTTTGTGCCCCGAGAATTGATTGAATATGAACCTGAATTAGAGCCAGTTATAAACTTTGTCTTTGGAAATTCTTTGGTATTTTTAATGATTTTTTTATTTATAGGGGAATTTTCAGATCTGTTTAAATATGGAACAAGCAAATTTGTTAACTTATAAAAATCAAAATGTAAACTGTCGAACTGTAACATTGAATGGTGATGATCTCAACCCTCGAGGAATTTTAACCGGTGGTTCTCGAAACCATAAAGCTTCTGTTTTGAGCGCACTTCACGATGTTTTTGGTCGGTATGAGAGAATTTCTCAAATTAACAAGGAGCAACATTCACTGAATAGTTTTTTTATTTTTTTAAATGAAATTTATCTTTGCTTTCTAGCTAAACTCGCTTCACTTCGTCCCATCCAGCAACGTTTTGAAGATTTAAATGCAAAATTACGTGATCACAAACATCATTTGGATGCGGTTGTAACTGCATTAAAATCCAATCCTGTTGAAGTTTTAACTGAAGAAATTGGACGTTTGGAGCAAGAAATCAAAGACTTGAATGAAACGATGGAAAATGTTTTACCTGATATTGAAAGACTGAAACAACTTATTCGTGAATTGGAACAGCAGAAAAAGGATGAAAATTTCCATGTATTGTTTTATTTTTAAATAAAATTGAATTTTTTATAATCAAGGAAAATGAAAAAAATAATGCACAACGTGAATTAGATAATGCCAAAAAAGAACTTGAGAGGATGAAGGATACTTTTGGTAATGCAAAGGAACGTCTTGCAAGTCTAAGGTTTTTATATTCTATAATTCGGATTGAATTAACATTTTAAGAGAAGAAATTTCGTTATTAGAACAGTCAATTGAAAACGACGGAAATGAGCTTGCTCATTTGGAAAAATTGCGAGATGAAAAGAATGCAGAAATTGAAAAATTTATAGCAAAAGTTGCCGAAGCTAACGTTTCTTTTTTTTTGATTTATGAATTTAATTTAATATGTTATTTTAAAGGAATCTGTTCAACATCTTCAAGATGATATGGATAAATATAATCAAGATGTTCGTCTTAAAGATAAAACTCTTCGAACGAAAGCCGCTGAAATAAGTGAATTTAAAAAAAGAATAAGTCAATTGAAAAATAAGCAACTTTCAAATGAAAGGGATGCGCAAGAAGCTGTTAAAAATTCAAAGGAATTTGCTAAACGAGTAAAAATTTTTAATCCATTTTATTTTTAATAATTTACTTCAGGCTCAACAATTGGAACGAATACACCGTTGGATTTCTGAAGAAAAAGAAAATTTTGGTTTACGTAACACTGAATATGATTTTACAGATTTTACTTTTGATATCGGAAAAAGAGAAATTGAACAACGCAAAGATAGAATCAAGGAGCTATCGCATACAATAAACACAAAGTAATTCTTTTAAAACTTGTTCCTTTTTAATTCTTAAAAATTCAGGGCAATGCACTTATTAGACACAGCTGAGGGTCAATGTCAAGAATTGGATATCAAACGATCTCAGTTAGTTAAAGACAAGAAGCAACTTTACGATACAATAGAACAGCTTGATGAGAGGAAGAAACGCGAACTTATTGCAGCTCACAAACAAATTAGCAATGTATTAATTTTGAATTATTTATCTATGATTTTTAATTTTTAAAGGATTTTGGATCAATTTATTCAACTCTCCTCCCTGGTGCAGGCGCTGAACTCGTTCCTCCAGCTGGGGCTGAGAATTGTCTTTCAGGACTTGAAGTTCGCGTCGCATTTAATGGAAAATACAAGGTTTAAGCAATTATTAAATTAATAAATTATAAAGTTTTAATAGGACTCATTATCTGAACTTTCTGGTGGACAACGCTCGCTGATTGCTCTTTCTTTAATCTTGGCTATGCTAAAATTTAAACCTGCACCTTTTTATATTCTTGATGAAATTGATGCAGCATTAGATATTTCACACACTGAAAATATTGGAAAAATGATTAAAAATCATTTCAGTCAGAGTCAGGTAATTTATCTAGAGTACTTTTTATTTGTAATGAATGACTTTTGAAGTTTATTGTTGTATCTTTGAAGCAAGGATTTTTTGATAATGCAAATGTTGTATATCGTATTCAATTTAAAGATGGTCGTTCAATTATATCAAGGGAAGAAAACAACAGGCAGTAAATATTTAATATGGCAATCTCACCAAATATTCACTTTTTTTGTTTATATATTCGATTTTTTTAATTTTTTGATCTCTATTTAATCAACCAACCTGCCTTTTTTTCTTTTGCACTTAATAAAAATAAATCTTATCGGATTCAATTACGATTTGTTTTGTATCACATCATATACTTTTACTTTTGATGTATTTAATATTTTAGAATTTTAATCCCAGAGATGGATTCTAAAGATGATGTTTCTTCACAAAAGAGAAAAGCAAGCACTCCGATTTTTTCGCTTTATGGATCTGATGATGAAGATGATAAGGATGTAGCAAAGGTTGATATTTCAGCCACTGAACTTAAAAGAACCAAACCAGGGGTGCATGGTGAACCTAATAGTGTTCTGCTTTCTCTAGGATCTATTGCCTCTGGTTAGTCATTGTTTTTAGCTTTTTATATTCCATACAAGGTTCTGATAAATTAAAAGATTTCGTCATTGAAATGTGAAATCTTAGACTTTATTTTCAATTTTAGAACAATCGTCGAATGCTTTTCTTTTGAGCGTTTGTGCAGCTCGCAAAGGGGAACGTGAAGATATGCAGGATCGTCATCTTTTAATTGATTCATTACAGAGTCAGATGGAAAGTTTGCTGGACCCATTAGGAGTGTATGGTCATGTGATCAATAAATTGATTCATGTTTTGGATCTATATTTTCAGCAAAGGACGTTTTGCGTTTTATGCACTTTTTGATGGCCATGCTGGTGCACATGCTGCTGACTATTGCGAAAAGTCCTTTGTCAATAAATTTGTTGAAGTCTCCCGGAAATGTTTGCTATTTATTTTTTAATTTTTCCAACTTACATAATTAAGGTGTTAATGGAAATTCGGATATTGGACTTTTTGAGAAATCCATCAAGAAAATTTTTAAGGAAACATACAAATCTATTGACGATGATTTTCTTAAGGAGGCCAAGAAAAGGTTTTAGTTTTCTTTTATTAGTTTTTTAATTTTAAGTAAACCAACTCTGAGAGATGGAACCACAGCTACAACTATATTGTTGTTAAATGAATCAATTTATTGCGCTAATATTGGCGACACAAAAGTTTAATTTTCTTTTCTATTAATTTTTCTTCTTTGAACATAGGCTGTCATTTGTCGTTATAAACATGATAAGAAGGAGAGTATGGCTCTTCAACTAACTGTTGATCATGGCCCAATGATTTTTGCAGAAAGAATGCGAATACAAAAAGCTGGTGGTTCTGTCAAGTAAGCTTAATTTTAGAGTTTAAGATTTATATTGAGACCTGAATTAGTTTTTGCGTAACTAACTCCTTATTTTCAGAGATGGTCGTGTGATGGGTATTCTAGGTAAAATTTGCTTGGTTAAAAATTGTTTGCTTCTTTACAAAAATAATTGAATTCGAACAATAAATAAACTCAAATATTCTAGAGGTGTCACGTTCTATCGGAGATGGTCAAATGAAGTCACACGGAGTTATTTCTATTCCAGATGTTAAAAAATTAACTACTGGGTCAAATGATTTGTAAGTAACTTATTTTTATTTCTTACTCCATTTGATCTTTAGGTTTTTAATTTTGGCTTGTGATGGGCTTTGGAAAAGTTTCACAGTGGATTCAGCAGTTCCTTTTGTTTTGGATTGTTTTAAACGTAGAACAGCGTCAAATGTAAAAGAAGACGAAGCCTCTTTATGGTCTTATATAGCTGATGAAATTTGTGCAGAAGCAATTCGTGGTGGTTGCGGTGATAATGTTACTGTTATAATTGTTGTTTTTATAACAAAGGATGAAATGATCAAGTTATTCTAATATGGTTTTTTTATCGAATTTTCATCTAAATAAATTTTAATTTGTTAATTTTCTTAATCTATATGCGACATTGTTCGCCTTTTCAGTATTTTAAGTTTTTGTGATTTACTATTTTTATTTTTCCTTATGTGCAAGATTGATGGCTTTTAACAGTAAAATTCCGATAGCTGAAATAAATAAGGAAAATATAAACAAAGTATGGCCACAGTTACTAAGTGCGATTCAACAGGCACATATTGTAGCAATTGATTTGGTTTTTTAAAAATATTTAAAATGATTTTTTAAATTCGTTTTTAGGAGTTTAGCGGTCTTGGTGATTCTTCTAATAAAAAGGCATTCTCCGATCGGTACAGGATTGCTAAAGAAACAGTAAAAAGCCGTACAATTCTATCATTGGGAATAGCTACATTTCAAAGGAGGCAGACGAAGAATCCTCTGAATATTTCTTATAAATGCAAGGTTACTTTGATTTTGGTTTTAATGAAATTGCTATTTGTTTCAGATTTTTGATCTGCTTTCGCTTGAATCAAAGCCCTTTGTTGCAGATCCTGAGGCTTTTGTATTTCTTTCATCACACGGTTTCGACTTTAATCGATTGTTCAGTCATGGTATAAGATATACAAAAGCGGTAATGATAATTATGTTCAATCAGATTTATGTTTAAAGTTTAGGCAAACGCCAGAGAGAATATTTTCAAATCACTTTTCGAAGAAATTTTCGCATCCGGTGTTTCGCTTGCAGTTCACAATGGACTTAATGATTTATTATTTATTTATGAACATTTTTATGCCGCATTGCCTGATAGCGTGGATGAATTTGTCGCAAATATAGCAGATTGGTTCGGAATTGTTGACGGGTCAAATTTTGTTTGTATTGGATCTCCTACCATTTTGGATTCAAAATATTTAGCTTTAAAGAATGAAAAGGTTTGTACAAATTCTAACTGATTACTATAGAACGTCTAAACTTGGAATATTTTCAGTTTGAAAGCTCGTATTTGGAATATGTATTTAGAAAAGCACAACGTTTAAACCACATTCGAATGGAAACACTAAAACCTTATATCTCTATCAAATTTTCAAAACTCCCACAAGATGTTAGAAGTGAAATTCTCTTCAGTAGAATAAATGTTGTTCTAAGTAATAGTTTCCTACAGAAAATTACAAAAAATGTTCAGTTTGATGAATTATGCAAGAACTACAGTGTAAATTTTAATTTTTTGTAAATATTTTTATGATATATTAAATTTTTAGAATTTTGGTAACTGCAGAAATCGTAAGACTTGTCAAAAGGAACATGACGTTGATCTGGTCTTAGATTATGAAGATAGCCGTAAGAAAACTAAAAAGGATAAAGAAAAAAGGCGGCGTGAACACAAGGCTATTAAACGGAAACTTGCTGCTGATGCAAAGAATAATGGGCTGAGTAAAACAAAAAAATCCAAAATCGAACTTGAAGACACAAGTGAAGACTCGGAAACAAATAATTCATGTTGTGTTAAAGAAACTACCTCGACTGAAGCAAATGAAAGTTCAAATCACTTAGGCTCTTTTGAAAGCAGAGGAAGACATCGAGCAGGTATTTTAATAATAATTTACCTGTTTACAGTGATGTTCCGGTTTTAAATTTCGGAACCTCGTTTCGTAGAACTAATCCCGGAACCGGGATATCACTGGCGGTTTGACTTTGAATAAAAATTTAGGAATGGATGCATTCATGACTGGATTTTCTGTCTTGTATTTTAATGTGGATGCCAATGCTAAAGAAAATTCAAGTAATATATGTTTGTTTGACGCAAATTTGGCTGCACGTCTCCCACTGCCTGGAAAAGAATTCCCATTGTTACTAAGAAAACCCGAGAGAGTTCGACAATCAGAATCACATGTTTTAAACTGGGGACGAATACAAGATCGCAGGAATGGATTTTTAGAATCAAGGTATATTTTTTATTTGTAAAAATTTCAAACAAAAAATCACATCATCATCTGTTCCTCCTCTTTCTTCAATAGGGCTTTTCTTTCAATTAAAAATCTTTCATGTTTTTCACGTAAATACATCAATAAAGGTTGAAGATCTAGTCTATACTTTCCCGAAATAAAAAATAGCCGCTGACCGGCGTACATTTTTGCGGCTTTCTTCTCAAATTCTATCTGAATATTGTTAATTAATTTTCATAAAAATATTTTTAAAAATACCCTATTATTCAATGTATCAATTTTGTTAAAAACAATTGCAGTTTCCTTTTTATTTAGATCAGCATCATACAATTCCAATTCTCTTCTCAATGAAAGCCATTGATTTTGCAAATCATTTTGGGAACAATCAATGACGTAAAGGATGCATTCACAACGAAGAATATGCCTCAAAAAACTGAAACCCAGACCTTCATTCCTATGAGCTCCTTTCACTAAGCCGGGTATGTCGGCAACTAAATAAATTTTATTAAAGATTTTAAAATTGAATAAATAACCAGCGACTTGAAAATAATCCGAATATTCAACCATTCCGACGCTAGGTTTAAGTGTTGTAAAGGGATAAGCAGCCACTTTAGGTTTGGCACGGGAAATTGCTCTGAGAAGTGTACTGAATAGAATAGTAGATAAATTGCTTGAAAATTAAAACATACGATTTTCCAACATTTGGGAATCCAACAAATCCGGCAGTTGCCATCACGCGCATTTCTATATCATAAGCTATCTTAAAACAACTTTATCAACGTCTTAATCTATCCTTTACCTTTTCACCACGGCCTCCTTCTTCGGCTTTTAGCGGTTTTCTTGCCATATTCGATAGGTAAAAAGCATTACCATGTCCACCAGCACCACCTCTTGCAGCAATAAACATTTCCCCATCATGGGTTAGTTCCCAAATTGACTCTTTTACAGGTCGAAGTTCATCTTCACTTGGTCGTTTGATAAGCGTGTTTAATGGCACATCCACGTATAAATGGCCACCATTTTTGCCGTGGCAACACTTTCCTTGACCTTTAAAGAGTCTGGCAAATTTTTGCGGTTAAAATTAAGTTTTATACCTGCCTGTCCATTTTCTGCTTTCATTAACAATTCTACTCTCGATAAGTCACTGACTTTTGAATTAGCTAAATTTGGATAAAAATTTTGAAAAGAAAAACCAAAAACCTTTAAAAATGACATGACCTCCATTTCCACCATTGCCGCCGTCTGGACCAGCTGAAATTTAAAATAAAGTCAAACATTTTAAGAACTGTTATAAAATACCAAATTCAAAATTCTTTTCACGCAAAAACGAAATAACTCCATTGCCACCATTTCCTCCAGAGCACACTACCTTTTGATAATCAACAAAGTCAAGGGGTTCGCCAGTTGATCTTAGCTTTTTTGGAAGGACTGGTGCTTTGTGTGAAATGTCGTAATTTTCTGATTTTTCGATTTCAGATATTGCTGTAGATAGAGGCCTTTTTAGAATTATAATTCCGGAATCAAATTTTAGACCTTTTAAGAAAATCTGGGCGATTTTCATTTGGAAGCTGAAAAATAAATTAATAAATTTTCATAAGATATGAGGGCCTTCGAATGATAAGACTCATTAGATGGGATCAAGACTAAATAAATAAAAAAAAGTTAGTTGATCAAAGTTCGCACCGATCAGTTGGCCCGTTTCGGAATTGGCGCTGAATCGACCTTGACCATATAAATCCACTTGAGTCCGGCACCTAAATTCATTTGAGTCCATGCACTTAAAGTTATTCCCGAGCATTAATCGTTTTTAAAAAAATTTTTAAATTTTATTTAGTTCAATAATAAAGTTATCATGGATTCTTCAACTCCAATTGACCGGCTTAACAACAAATTTTTACTTTCTATTACAAAGAGTGAAGTTTTCGAAAATCTTCCACTACCAATATGTGCTCAAATATCCAAGGAGTTGTTAGATGATGGAACTGAAAAATTGCCTACCGATTGCTGCAGATTTTGTGGTATTAAACTCGATTTTAAAGCTTCAAAAATTCAAATCAGCAAACGAAGATGTCGGAGAAATAAAAGGTTTTTGTTTTAAAAAATTATTTGAAAAAAAATTATTTTAAGTGCCAAAATAAAGGTAATTTGTCAAGGATGTCAAAAACCTGCATCGCATCCCATTAAGCTTCCCTCGCTTTTTTCATCAGATAAAAACGACGTATCTATTTTGGAAAAAACTATAGACGTTCCATCTTCCTCAAGATCAGCGCCAATTGAAATTGACAGAAAGTCAAACAAAAGTTCAAGGTTTCATATTTTGATTATTTGGATGTTTATTTAGTATTATTTTAAGTTCGAAAATGTTGAATGTTTCTCAATCGAATCAATTAAGCAAGGGAGTGACGCGGCGAACTTCCAAGGTCAATAAATTACATTTATTAGCATCAAAAAATAGTAAGCCAATTTGTAATTCACTTTCTTCTTTTCTTAAATCTTTTCAATAATGTAATTGTCCTATTTTTATGGAACTGTTAAAATTTTATTGAAAGGATTTTTCGACAAATTCTTTTATTGCATCAAAATTTCCTCCTGTTCGTCATAATAATCGAGCTCCATTCTTACATTTACGCTTAATAGTTTTCCTGAGTCAAAGAAGTAAATGCGTTCATCCGTGGGGTTGTAGCTTATCTGGGTCAAACCTTCATAGGGATTGTACCTAAAAAACACTTAAATAATCTCGATCAGTTCAATTTTAACCTACCAAGGAACATCGATGAATAGACTTTCATTTTCTGAAATTTTTTAATTAACTAAATAATTTAGGTATTTATTTTTAAAATTCTTTCTTTCCAAATCAAAGGCAAAAGAGATGAATGTCTCGCGATCTTTTGCATTCTCCAGTCCGTATAATACCTTTTTTAATAAATAATATTAAATCATTTTTTAAAGTATTTACCCCGCACATAACAAAAGCATCTGCTAATTCCTAATAAAACGAAAATTTTAGAAAGAAAAAATTTGGTGGTAATTTTAACCGTTCCATTAACGTCTAGCTCCCATGTAGCAATTACTAAAAGGTCCTAAACTTATCGAGGTTATGTTTTTGTTATGTTATAATTTTTGTTCTGACCTCTTCCACTTTACTGACCAATAGTCTTTCAGAATCAGGGCGCATATAAATAACCTGAACTTTTTTCTAAATTTTATTCATCTGAATACCCAAATCCCATTATGATCAACTGAAAAGTCCACATAATTATGGGATCGATTATAAAGCCATGGATGCCTTTCTGTTTCATTACATTCCTAAAATAGGTTTCAAATTCTTTTTCTCGCGTCTAATATGAAAATTACTATACAAAAATTCTTGCCTCAAAACTTTGATCATGCTTTCTCGGGCCTTAAAATAAGGAAAATCTGTTTATATTTTTCAATCTAGAATTTTTTACAATCTAGGTAAGATATTGGTCCAAGGGAATCACTCTGGATTTGTTCTGTAGTGTCCAAATCGTATCGAACCAAGATATTTGAGCCATGTCTATGATAATAGTACGAGGCGTTATTGACCATACTTCCTGTTCCAGCAGCCAAAAAATCCATATAATATCTTTTTAAGTTTTTAGGTATTAGATCACTAGAGATTGCTTAACTTTATATTTTGTTTTTTATTCAACAGCTCGCGTTCGTTTTCGTATTCATACTAAAATAGTTTGGAATCTATATTGCTATTAATATATTAGGTACAAGAACAGCAGATGCGAATGTATCAGTGACCCATCGTTTTCGTGCCCATTCTTCGTTACGTGGCATGGAATCTCGG